GCTTGAACTGGCTCAGTTTCATGAAGGTAAGATGCCCACTGAGAACCTGCATGCGCGTCTGAAAAATATTGTTAATTACAAATACTCCAGACTTCGGGTTCGACGATATGGACTCACACCTCTACAACTGGTGCTCTCCTGCCGACCAGGACCTACTTCCAGCACCAAAATTCATGTGGAACGCAAAGTTGATCAGTTTTCCCGACTTATTTCCCTCCTGACTCCAGCAATTTGGACGAACGAATATATCACTGCCGTATTGGCAGACGACGTCGACCATATGAAATATTGCCTGTGTAAGTGATTCACTCCCTCGTTAGAGGACCTAAAACTCAACTAACGGTGCCATGCTTGTGCAGTTTATTGTAGTTTCGGTATGTGTAGGCCTCGCCCCCCCCCACAGCGGACTATATGGAAGTTGTACTGGACCAATATGGGAGGCAGATCATGTTATGGCGCGCGTTAATGGGCGGTGCCCCTATAACGAATGTCAAAAATTGGTGTAGTGTGGTGGTACGCCCAGGCGCATGCTCATGCCGCGCCAGACACCTGCACTTAGTCTTCGCATCAGATAGTGGGTCAGCTCGAACAGTAGACTGATGCCTGGGAGAGGAAAAAAGAGAGTGGTGTCAACGCTGGGGACTGCGTCTCTTAGTCTCTCAGTGCATATTCCTCATTATAAACAAGCTGACTCACCCTTAACATATAGCATTGCGCATAATGTAGTAGACTGGAAAGCTGCCAACTGATCGAATAACTCAGTCTTCCTCCCAAGACAAAGTGTTAGGCTAAAACGATTCCTTGTTCTGCCCGTTATGGCATTGTCATTCAGTTGGGATCCGAGCCGCTCCCCTATTCCTGTGTGAAATTTTGGTCTTTTGTGTAGGGACAAGGAAGCCTGGTGGCACGCCTAGACACGGGATCACGCCATGTCAGCCACCTACCCCCGATCCCTCCTCCGGTTTTCCTGACTCTGCCGTGGCACCGTGAAATGGGGTGAGGAAGAGGAGGAGGAGAGAGTGCGGTAGATGCAACGCATGTTTGTTAGCTAATTCACGCGCGAGTCACCGTCTCTGTGTTCACTTCGCTGTGGCGCACGTAGTGGACATCGTCGGTAACCATCGTCAAAAATTAGGCCGAAAACATGGTGACCACTTTAAGTATAATATTCTAAGAGATCCAGTGGTTAGCGTTTGATTTTTCATAGAATTAAAAGTAACAATGCTGCAAAACTTAAAATTTCATCAAAAGGGGAAAATCATTAGAGTTTTCTAATTCAGACGACGTGACTGTCTGGGCGACTGCACTAAACTCTTTCCAACTGTATTATCCCCTCAATTTTTGGATGACTACTTTGATTGCTTCGTCGTGTCTTATTGAGAATAAGTCAGAATTTGTCGAACGTGCGCGTTTATCCGAAGGCAATTCCCTCTCTGTTTTACGAATGATGCCCAAATGGGAAGGATCACCATTTTCATGGTAGAGGAATCGCCTTATTAACCATAAACGGAATATTATCAAATTTTTATAGCCGTGGGAATAGCGAGAGTCCGGCATTGCGTTGAGGCAAACGTTACTTCTATGCATGAAAGTTGTTCCTTTTAATACGCTTTTATTTGAGTGATCCTTCAATGCTAAGGTTTTTTGGTTTAGAGAAAATGCAATTGGGAACTTTCCAGTTTCGCCCAAAATTATGACAATCTTATAGATAATAAGGCACACAAAGCACACATTTTGGGGTAAGACTTTCTCGGTGTAAAATAGTAATTCGTTTTAGAAACTAAGAGAAAAAATACGCCGCTTCATTAGAATGGAAGGCAAAATATCGAGGTCACACACAGACAATCCAGTGTCCCTCTGTTGGCCTGTAGAGCCTCTCGATTATTGATTGCCGGTCGTCAAGTTGTCACCTAGTACGGACGGGCACTATAGGCAGTCAAGCCAAAATTGAAGTGTCGACTCTCATCATCCAATTACGATGGATCAGTGCACGCCGTTCCTGTATGACCGAACATTTTTTATGTTAACCGATATTACATGGGTCTTAGGGACGGTTGTAAAGGCATTGCCCTTTGCTCAGCTGTCCCGGGCTAGAACTGTGGGTTTTGGACTGGAATTAGAGTACAACTATTTGAGAATGACGAGCATATCAGAAATATATATTTTAATTTGACCGTCCGTTTGTGGAAAACCTCTAGACTGTTGATTGTTAGTCACAATGCTATCCCTAACGTGGGGTTTGAAATTAGATATTCGAGGCCTATCGCAACTTACCTGCATTCTGTCCTAAACCCAAAGCAGGTCAGTGGCCTAAAATGTAAATTATCGGTTATCAACTGTTTCCCCTTCTTTTCCCGCCTGCATGTTTAGGGAAACTACCAATCCATAAGCTGACACACCAGCGTAACGTGAGTTTTCCTTCCATTAAATCCCCTTTTAGCTTATGGGAGTGGAAAGGAGAAAACATCTTCCAAATTGGATGACTGCTTTGTCGGTGTAACGCGGGAAGGAAGAGCCGTATATGTTTCAAGACCTATCCTGATCAATATCATTGAAGACTGTTCAGTGGAGGCGGTACAACTCACACTTGATTTAGGCCCTGATCTTCTTCAATACTATGAAGGTACGGTGTTTGTCATTTTATTTCGTTACGATGCATCGCTGAGTCCTTAAATATCTAAGAACAAATGACAGTAATTCACAGTTATCATGCGTTTAGTCATCTTGCACTTTCAAACACCCGGACAGTGAGCACCTCAGATTTCGCATGAGCTCTATATCACTTATATTGTGAAAGTGAATTTTAGGATATCCATGCAGTTGTTATCTAACGCTGCTGAGTGCTCCTATACGAACTATGTTTTCGCACATCATTGTCTAACTAGAATTTCCACGTCTAAAACAAGGGCATTTTTATCCTCCCCACGTCTGTATACGCACATGAATAACCCTTAACTTCAAATCCAATGGCTTGCAGAATTGATGATGATGACTCTAATGGAGAGAATAAAGTCTACCACGGGTGCTGCGATTCAAAGGAAGCTCGCATTGGATCGAACTCCAAACCATGTTATTTGAATATGCAACCACATAATAGCTGAAACCCACATTTAATTCCATCGAAAAATAAGAAGCTGGCCTCAAAGTGAAAGATTTTCACCAATTTAAGACTTGAACTCTAAGTGACTAACGCGTTTTCTGACCGGTTCCTGAAACATAAAAACCCCACCGAAACAGAAAATAACTGTATCGTTAGTCGCCTACGTGTATACCCACCCCGAAACAGCAAATGATTATTTGGCAGTCACAGCCGACTCATTCAGCTTCCATTGGTTTTAGTTTCAGTCGTAAAGTTAGGGGTTTTACGGGTTTGCGAGTTTGTCATTTAAATATTATGTTGGCTAGATGCCAAAGCCACCCACTCCTCACGCATTAGAGTGTGTGTGAAACTGCGGAGAACCTTGGTATGGGGGAGGCAAAATTCACAAGTTACCAAATTCATTTTAGAAAGATGGACCAGCAATTGTTGTATCATTATCAAGTTTTTTGATGTTCACGCTAATGATACGGCTAAGTTAGATTATGAATTTGTGAGAACAGAAAGTCCCACGGATGCACTTTTAAACAAGAGCATTCACGCACTGTCCGAGTCTCCCGAAAGATAGTGCGTCTGCACAGCACGGCCATCTATTCCATTGTCCGATATCGGTTTTGAACTATAACACGGCGTTTTGACGTCCTTGTTCCACTTTTTTCAGTATGTTTTAGGGTATGTTGTGGCAGCCATTTGGCATTAATAATTTTGAGATGGTCCAAGATACAATCAGTGGATGCACGAGCATGCACTACGCGGACTCTCTAAACCAGAGGAATGCATCTCAGAGCTGAAATCTAATTAAGAACTACCAGCCGGCTGTTTTTGAAACTGACATTCTCAACTTGAGAGTTGCGGTTTGGGACAAGGTTCCCGGGGTTGCGGTTTGTTTGTTTGATGATAATCGCGTCCAGAAAAATTTAACGGTTGTTAGCATTAAGTTCTGTTCTAAGGCTTTTGTTCTGTAACGCGTTTTAAAAACTCGGAAAATTCTTATTCGTGCAACTTGAAGTGCATGACAGAGATGAAAACTAGGTGGTGGGTCGTTCGCCCCGAATTTTCTACGGTTAGATTTTTAAAACTTCCGTAATCGCACTCCAAACATCGACCATTTGAGGGTTACTGATCCGGTGTTCGCTTCACATTTCTGAAAGTATCCTGAACTGCAGAATAAGAAGTAAGCATATCGTGTACACCCCCGAGAGATCGAGCTATCTGTCTCCGATTCCGCTGGTATCCATACTACACGCATTGTTTTACTTAGCAAGGTAAATGTATTCGAATTTGTACATTTTAAACTTAGTTTTGCAGTTAAAAGTATGAACAGTGTAGCTTACTAATATTTTGCAAACGTCGGTCGGTCCTTTAGCAGATAACCCAATGACCTTTTACCGAGTTAGAAGCATAAATGAAGTATATGAGACTGTCCCAGTGCTCCATCTTGTAAATTAAATGGTTATATAACCATTGAGGGTGTCGACTCAAACGGTCAATTAGGATTTGGACAGTTGCGGTTGTTTGGTAAATGACCGTTATACAAACGGACGAAAAGGCGTTAGTTAGAACTTTCTCGGTCTCACTTATTTGTCGTCTTTCATCAGTGGGCTCATATCTTAACTGTTTGGTGCAATAGGCGGGGCGGAACCAGCATGATTCATTTTACTCGATTTTTGCCAAGCAGACCTCCTGGAAATTACCATAGCTGATTATTCTGTTCCCTCAAACTATGCAGGACTACTTATTATCAGAAGGCTGATGCGAGGCTGACAAAAAAACAATCCTCTTTCCCCCTCTTTATCCACCATCTTCAATGTTGTCTGCGCCAACCTTTTGGCTTATTTAGAGGGTGTCACCTGCACTCTGAGTAATGATGTAAGATCCCCAACCTTTCGGGCAAAACGCTTCCATGAGTACATATGTAAGTAATTGAGAGCCGCGGCTGAATAATCGCGTGAGACTGGTTAAATGATTCGACCATGAATATTGAGACGACAAATAATCGATAGGGTGAGACGTCAGGGACTACAGAGTGCATCATGGACAGCTAATGGTCGTTAAAAATTCCGTGCCATAGTGTCTTTTTGATGTCTAACTTGGAACATCAGTCGAGACAAGATCAGATTTCACCTTTTCTTGGTTCATACCGCTTCCATGATGTTGCTGGATTTGCAGTCGGTTGAAGCATATTGTAATCCACACTTTCGATACTCCTTGCATGGCACCTTTTCATACCTCACCAGATACTGCGGCCTCACTGTAAAGTCTGCCAAGCATATTACCATATAATCCGGTCAAAAATTGCCTTTCTCCATTTCGCGTAAATTAATCTCGCTCTTGTTCAGCATCAAAGGGACAGTGCTTGACTGTTGTCCGTGAGAAGATTTTATTGTTAAACACCTACTCATGTTGCGCACAAATAACAACTACCTCGACGCTTGACATCTTGTCCATATGTGAAACATTTTTGAAAGTTCCTTTCTCCCTCCATCTCCGATTTCTCCCCTGACTTGAAGGTTCCCAAGGCTGCAAGCTGCAGACTAATCACCTTACTGTCATTCTCCAATTACTAATCTCACTATCGATCCAGTCTAGAATTTCTTGCTCTTTATCAGCCCAAAGCCAGTAACATATTTCACACCTTCGCTATTGATTCTTTTTGCCTCATGCGACCGGTACTATTTCACATAACTCCCACCGCATGTCCAGCTGACTCACAATGTGTGCGTTTGATTTTTAAGTCGTGTCCAATATATATCTACGCAAAATTTCGAAATACATACCCACACGAGCAAATATTTTAAGAGGTTATGTGGACCTAATACAATACCACAGTAAGATCAACGGATAAGTCGTTTATAGTGACCAGTTGGTGAAAATCAGGGTTGTATGACCGGGAACGGTAGAAGTGACGAAAATACAGCCCAAAAGTGAGTGAAAATCAAAACCCCTTATCAGCGCAGTCTGTTTGTTTAAACCCAGCAATCGCCCACAGAACTGTGCGGCGCTTTATGGAAAGGACCTATGAGAACGCTGAACTAATCGTGTACGTAATAAACCGCTGTCATTTGTGGTAACCTTATGCATACATCAACTAAGGCATCACGAACAATTTTAAAAGAGCCGTAAAGTCGTACGCGATATTAGCTACTTATTTTCAGAAGGTAGAGGAGATATATTAGATTTCGTCTTCCGGAGCCACTGGCCCATAATACAAAAACTGCTGCTCTTAAACATTATTCGAAAGTTGCACAGGCAAAAGCCATTTGTGAATACGAATGTTCTTTATTTTTGTACGCGAGGAAGAAATATGAAGGGGCTGTTCTATCACAAGTCGTCCACTCGAGGTACTTATAGATAGCGGTATGTCTGCCATTCACCTACTGACCTACAGACACAGAATTAAAGACACTGCCCATGCGGCTTGAAACCTCAGCGTTTTAATGCAAACCATTCAAGCCTGGTCGTCTCAGTATTTGTAGTTGTTACCAACTTCGAGAAAGGTCTGCTATTGTGAAGCAGATTACAGACGAAGTGAACCTATACCCCATCTGTGCTTGTAAACCCACTTGAAGACGGACAGCTAGTGCGCGAAGCCGTCAGTCCCGCCCACTGCCGCGACAGACAGCGGGAACGGGACCAACACAGGTCACTTCCAAACGAAGTTTGTTACTCACTCAGACTATGCACTATCATCTAGGAACCAGAGAATTACCTTGCACGCAACTCACGCGCTGTATAATGGAGGCCCTGCACGGGCCTCCTCGATCTTTGGACAGTAGTGGTCGAAAGAGTTACCTGAAACCTCTGGAGACAAATACACCCCCGAGTGAGAGCCTCTTTTTCTGATCTCCAAGACATTGTGTGGTAACTTCGTAATAAGTGAAAATGCGTTGGTAGCTGATTTCAGAAGTGAATTATGATGAAGTCAGGGAAATTAATTCTCAAGACGGGCTTTGATGTGATTACTATAATGCATCTAGGTATTAATAAAAAATTTTTTGCGGATTCCAAGCTTATGCAGAATGACCTAATGGCCATAAGTGTCAGGTGTTACTGTCATTATCAATTTTACAATCTGTTTAGCATGAGTATTAGACAGGTCGCGTCAAAGAGGTTTACGACAACCACTCCCGAAAGCAAGCATTCCTGGGCGGGTTGTTGATGCTTGTAGTCCTGGCGAGATAAGGTTTCCTGATCTGTCTTTCGTTTAGCATGTCATAGTTCTCAAAAAATCCGGCATTGAAGTTTTTCAGGGAATTTAATATTATGAAATTATCTTTATGGCTTTAGAAAAAGATTTTGCTGATCATCTGCTGTTCTGGGCCTTCCAACCGCATGTACCGCTCCCAACCATGTCCTGTATAGTAAACAGGTGTTCAGTCGACGTTCGAAACAGCAGCGGATGTGGCTCGCTACTGTCTATACTTCAGTTAGCGCGCGGTCTATCTCAGCCTTGGACCGGTCGGCCAAAGCAGTCTGATAACCGCGACGCCTGGATTGCATTCATAGTGCAGAGTCTGCTCACACAAGGCGCCAACATTTGCTGGCGTAATGTCGATGGCAATGACGTCGTTGATCTCCTCCTCCGGCAGGTTCTGCTGCCCTGCGATAAGCGAATTCTACGTCTGCAAAGGGATCATGGACTAGCCCCCCCACCTAAAGATGTGCGTTTACTCGTTCCGAAAATATATCGGTGTGTTAAAAATACTGCTGCGTTTTTACTGATACAGTTTCATTTGTTTGCGACCTAAACAGCTGGCTTTCGTGTTTGCAGCCAGGTTTGTTTGGTGTAATAATTCTGTCCAAAAGAACAAGGTCAAAAAGTAGCTCGAGGACAGGTGTTCATTGCGTCGGTGGATACAGCACCTGACAAAATACCTTTCCGGAAAGAAGAAATCTAGTCCTGCCTGCAGATGAGGCACAGGCTGTCTGGCTGATGGTCCGTCAAAATTCAGCGCCAATCCTAGTCATTAATTTGGTTTATCGTCCATAGAGGACACATAAAATGCAAAGCACTAATAAACGTTTATAGGTCTTGCATCTTTATTCCCATTTTTAGTTAAACTATGTGGTGATATTTCATGAGGTTGACAAATTGTACAGGAAAGGTAAAATTTATGCCTGTATTCTGGGTTTCATAAACGTTTTTCGGAGTTACTTAGAACCCCAGCAGTATCTTCGCAATAAGTCTAAATCCAGTCACCAGTTGGCTGGCCGCATGCCAATGCCCTCTCACTGAACATACTTTCTGGAATCCTGTGATATGTGCGGGCTTTTCACGTCCGTTTTAATGTGTTGACCGAACTGTCTGCAGTTCCCCTGAAAGCGGATTTTACTCTTGGGCCTGAAAAAGCATGATTAGCTCGCCTCTTTATTGCCGATTAACAGAGATTGTTTTATTTTCTAATCTAGACTGTAGCATTGAAAAACATGATCCTTAGCCTAATTCTACCAAAAACGTAGAGTGAAAACGACTCAATTTGCTGTTGCATTGCACATTCTTCCGTTGCAGGTTCCCAAAGTCAAGTCGTACGCCAATGTTGTGGACGAGGCAAAGGGTCGGCCATTGACACCCCTAGAGTTGCTGGACCGTCATGTTGCTCAGTTGTTTAGCCAAGACGACTATAAAACCGTCGAGAAACTGGTCCTGGACGGCTATCCACGACTGAAAGAGGCCAACACAGGACCCCCTCGGTTCCGCCTTGCATCGGAAATCGCCCAGTTCTGTTACTTCGACGATCTGCTTTTATTGCTGGAAAATTCCGGAGATCTTCGTAGACAAGTCTGTGGACTTATGCAAGCGGTGGTCACAAACGATGTCCAGGCTGTGTGGAAGAAGCTAAATGAGTCTAAGTTAATAACAGGTGAGTCCGGCTTAGCTCGCATTTGCTTGCTTACGAAGGTGAGTGCATGTGTTCGGTGTCTCCTGAAAAAAGGGAAGAGTATAACTCACTTTGCTAAATCAACCAATCGTCCAAACGTATCCGAGACCTTAGGTAACGTGCGGACGGAAAATAGTTATCACAGTATTGAAAATTGTGGCGTCTCAGAAGGTATCCGATAGTGCTCGAAGTCTTTGTGGGGAAGTTATAAAATGGCACATAATTTCAAAACACCATACTTTTATCACTCCATACTGAGTGTCAAATTTTATTAGGCAGGAAGCAACGGAAAGATGATGGCCGAAGACGGAAAAATGTAGCCTTGAGGATTTGTCCCGTACCCAAATGATGATATCACTCGGAAGACTATGGTGCATAGGATAAAAATCGAAAATTGTCCCTGGCCAGAACACCTACGTACTTGTCTGTGAACGTAATTGATTGCGAACAAACTATAGAGCATGGGAACTGCGTCAATATAGGTTCCTCTGAGTATCTTTCGAGCATTGCAGACGATGTAGTACAGCTGGAAGTCGACCTAGAGAAAACCTAGAGTCCAACGGACAGTTTCAAAGATAGTCACCTGTCCGAGGTGTTGTTTGTCTCCCGGTGCTCCAGATGATTCGCATAGAGAATCAGTCGTAGTTTATCGTATCTGATGCTGTTCCTGTAGCCTTAACTATGTGAGGGACCGATGGGTGGTTGGAAACAAATGTGAATGAACGCACTAGGCAGTGAGGATTTTAATCTCTCTGTTCTTGGTGGCGAAACATTGCACAACGTCTGTACACACTTTATAGTTTCGGGAACGTCAAAGTCCTGTGCCACGGAAATGACCGTAAGGCGGAGGGCACTCGTGGTCATGCACACAGTTCTGACATCTATAGTCTCCTGGGAACTCTCCCACAGGCTCGCCCGACCCTGTGTGGGATACAAATGTAAACAGCAAACTTGGCTACATATTGCGTTGTTGCCCCTGCTATTGATAATTTCACCCCAAACGGGGAAGCGAAATATTTCCAAGCCTGTCGTGACTGTTTAAAAGTGATTCATCTCCACAGCGAAGCTCTGTCTTTGCTCTCGACTTGATAAGAGCGTCTAGCCATGGGATTTGGGGTTGACCGCTTATAAATGTACTCCTTCATGTCTAAGGGCGTGGGTAGACTGGCCCCAGAACACATGGCACTACTGCCCTTGTCAGTGCTGGCTCCAAGCGCCCGAGTATCGCGCGCAGAGGGTTGTTGCTATCTATAGCAGTAAACGCTTCTTTACATTCCATCGCGTAGGCCGATGGTTTCTCTCCTTCATTTCAACTATGCTTACAGCGCACTCGCTGAGGATTGCGTCGATCGTTTGTGGGCGAATATGAAAGGCGTTTTTAAAAATGAGAGTAATTTTCGACTCTCCGGGCGAATTCATCATTTAGTCTAAATGTTCGTTTCCCGATGTATGAGGTGGCGCAGATCCTGCAATCGTGGACAGGTTACCGAAATTGGTTCAAACTAGACGTTCATCGAGCACTGTAGGAGGCTTTTTCGTGATGAGGCAGGGGGCCTTAAGTCCACTTCGAGATATTTGCAGTTAATAGGGGGATTTCTTCTGGGCGATGACTTTCTCTGATTACCTTTTGCTCATCAATTAGATGATAGCTTTTCCTTCGTTACGCAGACATTTGGAAATGCTAAGTTTTTTTTAGTAGAATGTGGATGGAACTATTGGGCTAAGAAGAACCGCATGCCGATTTTCATTACGTCTTCTTTGTGACGATAATCGAAAAGGTAACACTTAGACCGACATAACTATTCCTTTATAATAGCCACACACCTATAGTAAGTAATCCACAATAGGTGACCTATCTGATAAAGGAGGTCGGAATTTACGAATGATTGCTAATCACTCGCAAACCGACATCGATGCATAGGCTCAATGTCTATATTAATAAAGTTCCGTTTAGTTTTATTAGGAAAATGTTGGCAAACGCCTTCGAACTACCTATTGGTTAAAATAACGTCGTAAAAAACACCAATACTTGAAGGAAATTAGACAGAAGATTGGCCAAAAAATTGCATGCAACAAGCATGCAACTGTCAGGTAAATACTAGTAGTGTGGACGCATGCCTAGTGTGTCAAAAGTGCGAAAATATCGAAAATCATTGCTAAAACATGACGAGTAGTAAGGAGAGAGATTTAAAATTCGGCCGGAATGCATTAGATCACATGCCGCCATCTAATGTGATTTTTGACTTTAAGACTTTAAGGCAATAAAAAATGGGATATTAAATGCAGTATTGCACTGTTTAAAAATGCCAATTTTTTCCGGAAAAGCTGAAAATTCCGAAAACGCCAAAATAGTTATAAGCAAGTAAATTTTGGTTTAAGATGTACAGGATGTTTCTCCATGCAAAAACTGGGTAAATATGACAGCATAAATAGAATGACGTTTAGCAGTCGGGTTTTAGTGAAGTTAACATTAAAAAGTGTTTCAAGAATTAGTGTACTGTTGGGTATGGCGGTTCGCTAATAGCCTACGCTATTAGTATAGACCCAAAACGGTTTTACCTGAGTTCGTTTTATTTCGTTTATTATTATTACATGTTTATTATTATTGCATGTATTATACGCTATCTTGGCAATTTGCGGGGCCACAGCAATAATGAGCGAACCCGCTTAAAATAGGACTGCCGAACGTTAATACGGTCTTTAGATCACGCATTTCGATCTTTTTCCGAGAAAACTATTTATAGTAAGTCATAGAGACACAGTAAAATTAAAGTACTGCAACTTCATTTTCGTCATATTTCAAACCATTTTGGTGACTATCTGTAGCGTTTCTTAAGATTGCTTCGATATTACTTTTGTGCAAATCCCCATCACACTAAACACATAAAGTTCCGTTTAAATGTCAAATGGGAACAAGCAACTAAGACAATTGCAGCCATTAACCAAGCAAATTAGAGCAGACTTTTGTTCTTCTATGTCCATACAAATGAAAAGGGGGCAAAAGAGAAAGGTATGCAAATCCCATTATCAAATGTTAAGTAAAGATTTGGTCAGTATAAGAGGTATTGTCGCCGTTAGACCACGATGCAACGGCCGTTCCATGTTCTAAGGAACTCAGCAGCTAGTTGGTAGTTAAACCCTGACGCCAAGAAGATCAATAACTGGGCAGATCCCATTCTATGTCACTTTCACCCCTTCTAGAGTTATCTTCGTAACTTAAACCTCAAGGGAAGGTAATTTGCTACAGTACTTATCCAAGACTACGGTTGTCCATATATGATTCTTTTTTTAATTTTAGGTCACGACTGGAGGTCCAGGAATATCTTGCATCTGGCAGTGATTTATGGACATACGGGACTTGTGCGCCTTATATCGGAACATATTCCAGATTTGGCTTATGAGCGTGATCTTCTTGGCTACACACCTTTTCATTATGCCCTTTGTCTGCAGGATCACCGATTAATTTATTCTATCCTAGCTGACAATGCTCCTGTTAACCTATCCATAAAGGACCGCGTAAGTTAAGGAAAACTGCACACATACTTTAAATATGTAGTAATTAGGAAGCCTGTAGAATTAATGTTCTCGAAACGAGAAAATAATCATTGGCTGGGGTTGCGTTACGGATGGGGATGCGACGTTGTTTACTTTGCGCAGTTGTACGTTAGCAGTCAGCAAATGATTTTTCTGTTAAGAACGTAATCACTTTATAGAGGTCGTTTGCCACTGCCACAGGGACATAAACTGAGCAGGATATTTGAGAAATTACTAAAAGTGTCGCTTTTCCAACCGAAACTTTGCAGTAAACTTCATCCTCTAATGATAATTTCCGTAGAAATATGAAACACGTTAGTCTGGGTAAAATTTTCCTTCTAGCGACTTCAGAGTAAATGTATTCATCTCTCCATAAGAAGAGAAAAATTGATAAATTTGCTGAAATCCTCATGTGACGGTTATATTGCTAAAATGGAACAGAAACTCGCCTAAATCCTGATATTAGCATTTTATTTTCTGATTAGGAATATCTGTAAGAGGGAAAAAATGTAGAAGTGCATTTCTAAGCAACCCTTATTATCACTCTTTATAGGTTATTTAAAAAATTTTATGTTTGGGCACTTGCCCCCTCGAAAAACCTTCTGATGTCAAAGATATTAAATTATATCAGGGTCACATAGCGTACTCTGTTAACAGTGAACACTTATCAAATCTTTGGATAAAAGGCTACATGTTTCCACGAGAACACCATAAAAATGCACCCACTTCGCAGTTTTCAAAACCTAACTACGTTATTTTTCGAAGAAACGTATGTACTTCCTCACAGCGTCTAATATCAAAGAGAAAGTTCAGGGTATAATTTATGGGAGATAAAACGAGATTACACTCATTGTTACTTGACAGTGCAGACTCATCTAAGCAACATTTTCAGTTTGAAAGCGTCTTAAAAGTCTCTGTCAATGTACCGTGAGTTCCATCGCCAAAGTTCCTCCTACTTTATTTATGAAACACGACGCGGGGCTGTAGTTTGGCTGGTTAACGAAGTCCAATAGGCCAAAATGTCTGTTATATTCCCCCTAAACTTTGGCGGTATTCTCTCTGGATGGTCAGTGTGTTCGGTCCTAAATTTTTTTCACAACAGCATGAAAAAGTGTCTGCAAATACTTTCAGGAATTATGGATATTGAATGATCCTAACAGCCTAAGTTGAAGTGCTCCTCTGCAACAAATTAACAAACTTTTAAAAGTGAAAATATTTCATGCCTCCAAATAGCAACTATCAACGGAATGACTGGACATACATTCTTTCCGTCCAGTCTCTCAGGACTGCACGTAGGCGAAACCACCCGTTACTTTACCGGTGTTAGGGAGAAAACGTACACACACAAACTGCTTGCCAGTTACAGTCGTGAAATGTTAAAAGAATCTCTGAAATGTGTTCCCGATCTAAAAGGACTACTCAGGTGGGGTTGTTGTGGCAATCATCATGCAGCATAATTCCAAGATAGACCGGCGACGTTGGAATGCTGGATTTTATATGCACTTCTTTCCGATCACCTGTAAAAACCGTATCCAGCGAAACTGACTACTTAAGTGGTATGCATTTTTGCACTGATTTTCGGTGTTTTTAAAAATCCAAGTACATATTACGTGGAAAAGTGCCCAAAAACATCGCTGTTCGCATTCGAATGGTAGCAAATAAAGTTTATTTAATTTTTAGATCGAACAAAGTGTCTTTTGGTTTCAATAGCATTTGCAATAAGGAGTAAAATGTCCATTCAAACCACATCGTATCCGTCCGCCTACTAGTTTTTCCTGTAAAATATGCAGCATGTTCCACATCTGTTGCGGAATCCTGTGCACAATGTAGCATATCTTCTTGGTGGCGCATGCAAACATATGACTTCTGCTACGTAGACGATATGCAGTTTGTAACCCTAAATGCAAATACCAGGGCAGATCGGGCACTAAATTATTCGGGAATTAAGACTTTTAAACATTTAAATGTACCTTTTGTTCGGGTATAAAATATAAATGAAGTGAAATTTCCTGCGGTAGTAGGACAAGAATAAACATTTTTTTGCATGCCTTCCCTAAACATATCTGAATTTATAACGAAATCGAAAATCGATGGGAAAATGCATGGCATTTAAACAGACATTTTTACCGAGTCTAGTTTCTGCAGACGGCCGAAAAGAAGCGCATTTGAGAACTGGCATCTTGGTGTGACTGAAGTATCTTAGGATTATGCTGCACGTTAGTCATGGTTACAATTCTACCTAGGTTTTCCTTTCTAACTGAATAGATATTTTAGAATATCGTTTAGCATTTCATGAGATTGATCACAGACTGTAACTTCCCAGCACTTTCGTCAGCATGTTTCTGGAATCCATTAGTACTGGCTAGCTTGTAAATCCGAAAGGAGAGAACATGCTACTCTGACATCAGCAGCATTTACCGGACAATCTGGACTCATCATCGTCATCGGCATCACCATCAACATCAGCAACACACTAGGGATTACAGTAGGCAATGAGACAATTCCTCCGAAAAAGGGTTTACGGGATGTCGTAGCGCGCATTAGACTGCATTACAGCCACCGGCGAAAATGCCTTTGAAACTTTCACTCATTTTTAAAAGTTCGCTACATGATGCTATTGACTATTCTGTTACCCTCTTCTATAAAGGCAAACTTTTATCTATTTCTTCTTGTCAGAAAGGCCGACCCCTAAAGGAATACATGAAAGGCGTCACGAAACGGAATGAACTTATCAAGACGGAAAGGGCTGCAGTTCTAACAGTTGAAGGATCTTTGCCGGCTGAAAATGCGCTGGTGAATGACAGTCACGAGTCACTGAATGCAGAAGACGTGGAGGCGTCCGAAGCTGCTTTGGTAAACCAGTTGCCGACGAAATCATCGCAGTCCTTCCTCGTGATCCCCGTTCCCGGCGCGTACTACCTGACGCAGCGCAACACCTTCCGTCCTGCAAAGAGCCGTACGAACCGTTTGACGAGGCGCACTGAGAAGGTTATCACTTAATTTTCGGCAGAAAGGCGATACTGTTCTGCTACGTAGGACCATCCCTACACTTGCACTCTGTGTTTCTACTAGTTGTATTCTCTCGGCCCATGCCTGACTGGCGTAACATTTTTTGTCTTACATCGCGGAATGGCTTGTTTGCTTTGGGTACTCAAGATGAATCACAATAAATATGACCGAAAATGACGATCAGTCCTTTCAACGTTGGAAGGGTGCTAAACGACCTGCCGGAGATCAATGGATTCATCAGGCCACAGTGTTTGGCAAATCAGTGACCATACGGTGAGTCATCTGTCTAGTTGTCAACATTTCCACTTCTGTTGTAATAAAAACTAATGCTCCCTACCTTTGAGTCTCATGGAGTTAACGCTTCTTAACCAATGGATCTATGACAAGGAAGTGGTCCCGACGGACAAAATTAAGAGTTCACCGGCCCTTTTACCTATCCTTGTCTCAGGTTGTGCTGTGTGCTCACTTAAGGGAGTGCTGGAGGTACCTGGTGAAGCAGAGGAGATTGTGATTTATGGAGCGGTGTGCCTGCACCTAAAATATGTGCGTATTTGCCCCGTTTACGGAAAATATGCTTTGCCGAAGGACATTTTTGCGGTAATTAAGCGATTCAAGGAATCTGGGCGGCCAGCAAATTCAGAAGCTCATGAATCTGTGGAATTATGAAGGCGCGGCTGGCCTCGATACTTCTTCGGCAACGAAGCTGCGAGTTATGGAGGGTCATTGGCCATGCGTAGGCGACTCAGCTAATAAATGTTCTATGAAACGGCCGCGAAAATCATCAGAAAAGCAAACAGATTCTTTCTCATATCCCCATTAAGATAGTTCGCAGATTCCTCACGCAAGAGGTTCAGAATGAAATTACTCAGCATGGAATCCGCATGCTCAAAATTTCAATGACTGAATGACTTCTACAAATGAACGACCTATGAGAGAGTTAATGTTGAGACGGCTGATCACAAGTTACTTAAGCGGGTTAGATATGAAGCCTTGGGAATTACTTGACTATAGATTCCACGTTGCTTGCAACTACCTTTGGACGGGTGTCAGGCCTTCGTGAGCAATTATGCAAACCGTCGCTAGGATCCACTGATATTTTTTTATACGGGTGTGGACATGAAGGACTCCTGACGACTACGCCACTGAAGACCTTTAATACTTTGTCATTTACTGACATATTTTCCGATGACAGATCACACACCGACAGACCTAACTAGCATTCATGAAAGCAACCAAACAATCTGAGTAGCTTCAGTGCCTTTTCCATGAATTGTCTATTTTGACGTACACACCCCCAAGCTATACGTAGACAGTAGCTTAGCTTTCATAGAGTCCTATAGGCTGACCAGAGTCCCTATGAGAATCTAGGCGGAGATATTAACGATACTCACCCAAACCCGACTGATTTGTGGTTGGCCTTCACTAGTTAGCGGCCAAACTCATGAAATGAGATTTTAATTTGAAAACAACCCTTCGAAGTGCTAATTAAGCCATTGCTTCTGGGCACTTCTTATACGACACTTTTCCTGCTAGATAGAAGTTGGCAGGGCTCTAAGTAAGGTGAACATTTCTGCGATCTGTATAATTTAACGTATGAAATGTGCTTAGGTTAATGAAGCATGTGTAATCAGTCAAAACCCACCCAAATACATAGACGAAAATTCTAAATTAATCATGGGAGGCCTGTGTTTGGTTTAAAACAATAAATAAATATCGAAAAAAATATCACGGCGGTTAAAAATAGCAATTTCCTTAATTAAGTCGGAAATACAAGAGGCGCGAATATCCTTGTCAAACTAGTGAACTCAATTCGCAGGAGTACACACAGCCTGATCACTCAAATAACTGCGCAAGTAAAATGACATGAACAAAACATGCAAAAATAGATTTTTTGTATACTCCAGAAATTATTGCAACACGAAGCGTGGCATGTAGCCAAGTGCGCAAAGTATGCTCATGCGCTTCTGATTTCCTTATGAGAATTCGATGACACCTCCGTTTTCGCGTTGCTCGAGATGCCTTTGACTAAGGCGAGGAGTTCACCCGATTTAGAGTATAGGAAAATCATCGGAATAAAAGTTTCACTTTAGTAGCATGCTGAGACCTCAATCAGTCAATAAGAAGCTGTAATAAACTTAGCGGATGCAATTGTAATCATACCATTCTGTGTGCATCAAGAGAATTTTTCTTCCTCAAATTACCATGTAGTTTTTGGCGGCGGTGGAACTCCCCTTGAGTGTCAAGGTATCCTTGAAGCGTCAACGAGTACTGTACGGTTTTAAAAGTTTTCAAATGACTGCCTCAAAAGGATAGACTTTGTAGTTTGTGGTCCTCAAAACTTTCAAAGTAAGATATTTCTTGACATCATGCACCCAAATAGTGGGTTCTCAGAAGTTTTCTTTTATTCAACTGGTGAGATGTGTCAAGTGTGTGGACTAACCGAAAAAATAAACCACTGCTGAAGACAATGAACTTTCGAAAAGAGGGCTTGCTATGAATATACTACTGATTGATTGCGAAATCACTGGTAAGTTACTTACGAAACAAGAGCTATCATAAGGTATTTAACTGGCAAATGTTCCAAGTTAAGGACAAATTAGAACATTCGGTCCACCTATGCACTTACCCGACAGATACTGATAACTGATTTGTCTCAGTCGAAATAACTTGGTTTTCTGTTACTACTGGAAACATTTTCAAAGGCTCCGCTCGAACACTATAAATTCACAGCAGGGGGGCTGTATACATATTAAGGAGTCGGTCAAATTAACAAGGCTTTAGCGGTATTGTTTATAAATTTCGTATTAACAGAAACTAGGTCGTACAGAAAGTATCTTACCATTCGTCCAAAGGCCAAAGTGACTGATTAATGATGAGACTTTTCGTGTTTATGTGTGGAAGATTTACATGTGTCGAAAAAATTTGCCTACGTTAAAAGGCAGGACGTTATATAGGCGTTAGTACTGCTATTATGGCATGAAATCACACAGAGCTTCAAATCTGGATTTTTTAGGAATAAATTCCTATATTTCCGGAACTAAAGTTCTTACCACATCCTGTTTAACCTGACCTATGCAGAAAAAGAATAATACATTTTCAAGTTGGTGGAGGTAGTTTTGGTAAAACTGTCCCGCTTAGGTAAATGACCTCTGGTATAGGACGGTATAGGCGTTGCATGAATAAAAGATAACATTGAGCTCCGCCCCAATCTGTAAATTGTTTCGTTGATGTACATAGAGGCATGTTCTGTATGAAAAAAGGAATTTTGACGGAACGCAGTAGGTGAATATGTGCACAACCTTTGAAGTCTCCCGACATAATCACCCAGATTTCCGTCATCAAGTTTCGAGAGTCACGCCATCTACCGTAGTTCGAAAGGTACTGCCGGGATCGTTTTTCGGCTCAAAAGGGATTCAGAACTTTCCTCGGCACAATAAAGTTTTCAGTAAGTGGTTAAAAAGGAAAGGCAAACGTTATTTTGAATTTCATAAAATATCACCGATGAATTCAGTTAGTGATAGATGTGCTCCTTGAAAGCCTGTTTTAAGAAATGCTTCGAAAGATGTGGAAATTACAGAATAACTAAAGGGAGAAGACAGTCGCCGAATCCTCTTCGGTCACTTCACCCGCGAATCATGTTTTTTCCTTGATCCGGGCGAATAAATTGTCCACAGAAGTACCGGCTGTCGTTAAAATCGCAGCCTCCGCGAGACGGACCATACTGGAGCAGTCCCTAAGTACTTCAACTTTTCTAATACGACGTTGTGCAGCATCAAGTCCGACATCTGGAAGCGGTGCCGAAAATAGTCAGAATGATCTGCCATACAAAACTCCTGAGGAGCAAAAATTATTCTTTGAAGGTATTTGCATTCATTTTTCCTCCTTGCGAATACTATTTCGCGTCTTAGTGTACGGAAACCGGAGCACATTTTAACGTAAAGACATTTTGCTACCGAATCTTTGCAAGTAGTAACTATATCGCATTTGCATTTGTCATGAGCACACTACGTCCCTCAAGTACGCTGAATTGTAGACAATGCAAAGTTAGGGCTAGTCAAGCACACAACTGTTCATTAGGCAGCTTCCGACGATTTCGGTTGAAAGGGTGAGAGCACCTGAATGACGGAAAAGTTTTCCTCGTTACCTTTGTAAAGGCAACGCAAACACCTAACATGAACACTTAATTCCGCTATAGAATCTGGTAGAAAACAGAGTCCATGATAGTCAAATACAACAGGCACGGAGGGGATTCTTACCCACACTCTCAAACAACAGTGCTATGAATTTGGCCCGTATTTCGCCGATCTTCTGTGCGACGCAAATTCGAAGAGTTCGATGACTATGAGGTGATTTCGAAGCTCGAAATAACGAGTCTTTCCTACAGCTCGGCCACCGTTACCGACTATGTTCACCGTGTGCCCCACAGCGAGTGAGAGCAGGGACGGTGGCTTGCACGTGAATTAGTTTATAGTGATAGAAGACTTGCGCAGCATCCACCGCACTCTCCCCTCTCCCATCTGGATCCGGTGTCATGGCAAAGTTAGTAAGACCGGAGGCGGGGGCGAGCGCAGGTGGCTGGCCCGACAAAGATACGCACGTAAGAGTACCGCCCCACGCCCTTGTTCAAAGCGCATACTGACCAAGATTTTACAGAGGAAAACAGGGAGACGGCGCGGATCCTAAATGGCGCGGCATGAACCTGCGCCCAGGCGTGCCACCCTACTCAGAATTTTGGTATTTTTAATGGGTACGCATTCCCAATAACGCCTGCAGGCCCCCGACCTAGCTCCAGTGTTGGACCAACGTATTTACCGCGTGGTCCGTTTCAGGGGCACTGGCCACCTAGGTGACAATATGGTGTCTACCAATCACAAATGGATAAACTCTACTGGCGAAGGTGGGGTCACTGGAATGGCAGGGATCGACCGAAATGAAATGAACCGACAGCCAGAGCGCTGTTCAATGACCAGCTGGCTAGGACTTAAGCCTGGGGTATGCCGCCTGCGGTTAAGGTATCACCAACCGGTGACGGCAAATGAGCATGAAAGGAGCATTCCACTCTGCCTGGCTTCGTCTGTAGACCTCGGAAATGGGCGTCTTAGGAGCATGCGCAGTTGGTCTCGAAGTTCAAGACAGTGGTCTAGAAGGTCCCCTATTCACTCCTCATATTCGAATGAGATGGTTTTCAAATTCAACCTTCATTTGCCTCTCTCATGCATTCTTGGACATATATAGGCTAACGTAGGGACGTGACGATTTCATTTCTATGCAGTAAGCTGGACCCGTCATCTAGTCGAACTAACTGGCGGCATCCTTGACGTGACAACAGTACGCAAGCTCTCCTAGTAATAAGAGAGTTTGCAAAACCCGGAGGGATGAAATCTTTTCCGTATACCGTGGCGTCTGTGAGACTTTTTACCAAACATTTTCATTAATTAACATAAGGGTTCTTTCTATCCTCTCTCAACTGAATGTAGTTTTAAAAACCAAAAAGTATTTCCCATGCACCACTAGTTAGCATACGAAGTCGGAAGAATCAGTTATAAGTCTAAAATAACTCTACAGCTGGAGGTCTGGTTTAGCCTGTCAGAGAAGAACTGTGTGCTCCTAAACAGAGTGACTCTACAACCCAAGCAATCACCACCGGTTCCAGCATTTCAAATGGCATATCGTGAAAAATGAGGTTGCAAAACCTGCTTTATCAGTCTGACAGAGCTTTGAATAATGACACGAGGTACGTGCATAATATAAGATTCCGAAAGAAGGAGCTTGTTTGCAACGAGCCGAAATACACTGGCGGCGTTATTTTCACAGACAAGAACATCCATGGGGGTCAGTCCTAGTATGAATATTGTGGACAAGTCTGTTTCGGGTATCTTGGATTAGCCAATTGCAGGACGTGAGTTTCCTACAAGGGTACATGTCAGGATTCTTGGGCCTGCCTAAGACCGATAACATGACGACCTTGGACGGACTCAGTAGTCAAATCACGATTCACATTGCATTGCTTTCTCAGGCCAGAATCATTTTAAATATGTATAAGATAATTGCAAAATCCAGGTGTCTGGAAGAAGGGAGCCCGGTTGGGTGGGCTTGTGCCCAACAAACCGAAATACGCCACCCATGTCATTTTGGGAAAGCAAAAATGTCTTATGATCTCACAGAGGCCAATTCTAATGAGAATGTGTGTATAATTCCGTCATCACTTGTGCCCCTGATATACTACCCCATAGCAATCGAATTCGTATGGAACTGGATCGACCAATAATATCACACGCATTTTCTGCACAAGGCCTACCTAAGACTAATCCTATCCCGGTCTTGATGGGATTCGATACTTGGATTACGACACACATTTAATTGCTATCAAGGTACTTATAAACAAATTTAATGCCTTTTATGGGTTCCTAACTGGGCATCAGTGTGGTATAAACAGCACAGGACAGATCTATTTTAAATGATCTTCCCGACTAACATTCGCAAAGATTGACAGGCCTGCTATTAATATTCCACGGCTGGTGATCTGAGTCGAGAGAAACCTGGCATTTGTCATGCCGGCGTACACCTATTTTGATGCATGAAGAACTGCGTCAGCGTCCGGAGAAACCTTGGGGTGGCTGTACTTTACTCCGCAATCTCGGTTCCCGTTTGCAGGTACCTGGTGGGCTAGGACGGCTTCTGAGTCCGAGTGACCGTACTCCAGCTCTTTTCACACGCAGCTGTTACACGCGTTCAAGATCCCATGAGAGACCGGACGAAGTTGTTCTGGTCGACTTCAAGCAGATTCGGAGAATACCTTTATTTGTCCTAAGCAAGCTGCCATTCTTGTCCACAATCCTCATTTGTATACTGCACAAGAGCCAGACGGGATAGTCGATCGCATGAACTCCTGATAGAAACGATAGTAACCCGTAGGTCGAGACTGTATTTGCGGTACATCGGAAAAGGAAGTATCCGCCCGACAAAGCGACGGTAACTTATTAGAACAAACGCGCACCATCTGTCCAACAACGTGAGGGATACCTGTCCGTTGGCCTTGGCCAAGAGAGCAATCTTAGAAACCCACAGTGTAATGCACTACTATTCCGATTGAGAAGTAAGCGCCAATCTGTGGTGTACATAAGCACCTATTCGTAAGGATCGACGTGTAGTACTCGACAAAAGCTCCAAAACCAACATTGCCGCGTCCGGATCCCCAGGAACCTTTTAGTCCGCTGGTTCTCAGTACCTGGGTCGAAAATGGCTGTGGCGGTGGCAGAATGTAATACAAATTCTCCGTAGCGCTCACTGAAATCAATTTAGGAATTGAAGGCCGATGCCAAGTAATTTTTTGTGAGGAGTTACGCACGTTCAAAATCCTGTGGCCAATAGTGCTCGTGTGTAAGTGCAGGCAATATTGACTGTATGGGGAATGGTGGATTCTATATATTGCAAAATGCTGAATGGGCAACTTGGCCTAAATTTGACTAAACACACGACTCCCGATTGGGCCTAGTGAACCAGGTGGCTAGGGCTTTGGCTGTAATCAATCCTTGACACTTTCTGTCGTGGGTCCGAATCCCACTAAGGCCGCCGTTATTCAACAATGTGTCAAATGAAAAGGCACACGATAAAAACATTTATACTACACTGCGGACAGATTTTTGCACATTTTTCATCCCTAATAAATGATACGCAAATATGCCGAGGCTGTCAGGCAGTCTTTCGGAATTGTGCGTTGCAAGCCAAAAAACGCCAGTCTACAGATCTGAAAAGTCGAAGCTACCAATCATCCTCTTTAGCCTGCTTTCGCTACAAGAGATGAGCCAGCTGTGTTCTGGCGCGAACGTAACACTTCTACTAAGTCAGCCAAACTGGTGCTTTGGTGGATAATGCACTCCAAAAACGATCACGCTTACCAAAAGTTGCAATATTTCATACCGGACCTCGACGAAAGCCACTTAAGACGGCCGCGCATCAGTACAGCACCTTGATTTGCCAACTAGGAAATTTTTGTCGAATTTACTGGTCAGAAAACCTAAATCTTGCAGTGATTTTAATAGACTGCAAAAGACACTGTACAGTATGAACGATTTATGGTGAAAAAGCAAACGTATTTTTCGAAACATCTTCAAATGGCTTATACATGTCTGAGTGTTCTGCTAACCGAACTTGCATTTCGAAAAGTCCATTTCTGGATGCGCATCCATGAACTTCTTCAGCATCTCCTGCTTCTTCTGTTCTTCAGAGGTAGGACGTCCTAGTTGCTTCTGTTGTTGATCATACATCATCTTCTCTACCATGCTCCGAGTCTCTCCGTCTAGGTCCCCGAGCTTAGAATTCTCTGGCTGTACCCGCTTGGTGTTGATTTCGGGTTCACCCTCAACTATGCGTGACCACCACTCCATTTTGTTGATCTTCTCCAAGTGCACTACGACTTCAAGGCCATCTTCCAGGATCCAGGAGCATTCTTCAGTCTAAGACCGGACAGAAAGAAAATGCAATGAGCCGCGATGACAAAATAACTGCTGCATAAAGTCACAACCCACAATTAACCCTGTAGGGATTACCCATCGACTGGGTGCAGTCGGATAACCATGAAGTAGTCACTGATAGTTATATGAGGAACCAGGAATATGTGCCGAAGACAGCGGCCAGAGACGCAACCGCTTCACTTTGAAGGAGTCAGTTTACTGTATCAGATTTGGTGGATTCCAGACGTTGCGGTAAGTTGGGCGGGCAAACTTGACCCAACTGTGATTAAACTCGCGTTGCCCGGTGGGGTCCCGTAGCTCAGATGCTTAGAGCGCTGGCTGTACTGAAGTCTCCCCCGGACGTCGTGGGTTTGAATCCCGGCGAGGCAATGTGTTTTCGACAGTTGGGTCAAAGTGAATAATAGTGTAAGCCTGAGGTGATGAGCGCTGCAAGCTACTTTCTACGTTGGGGGCAGTGAATTATCCCTATAATAGTTAACAGAGCACGGCGCCTAATTGCAGTATGCGATTCCTATAATCCAGTTAGCAGAATTAACTGCGTGCTCCCTGGTCTACCAGAAACTCGAGTAGCAATGCTGTACGAGAATGGCCTTTTGATAAGTTTATAATATTGCTAAACGGTAGGGAGAGGAGCCATCCAATAATTCATTGCGACGAAAACGCATATAAACCCCCTTTGCAGAACAAATGATGTTTTGTAAATCCCCAGTGGGTAAAACTGTGAACATCTTCGTAACGGGAATATATCCTGATGTGTACCTTCAAGACGGCCAATATCGGGTTTGATTTGCCAGCTAGCAAACATTCGCAGTCCTCGAATACTTCGTCGCATGCCGTGGATGCCTGAAGTGCGCCTGTTACATTGAGCTGTGAAAGACGCGCCGGCGAGCGACAATAAAGGGCTTATACTGTTACTAAACAGGGTTGGGAAAATTCGAATATTAAGGTGGGAAATTTGCAATGGGCTATACTACGCATCAAGAAATGCGTCAGAGTACTAATGAACAGGAACTGGCATTTGTGATTGCTTTAGACGCAGCCCAAGGAACCTTTTAATAGATTGACAGCAGCACCTTGGGAAATGTTTTCGAACTAGCTTAGTTTGCAGTCTAGCACAACAGCTTAGGTGTCAGCCCCCCAACAGAGGGTTAGACGGAAGACGGTTAATTCTCCTGAACGGTAGATATCTAGATCAGATTCGACTTTGAGATCCTTTAGGCTTTGGGATTTTAAATTAATAAGGCAATATCTGCTGTTAACGTAACATTGAATGGATGAAAAATTCGATCTTTGCGGAAGACGCAAACCAACCGAACTGCTGCAACAGCGAACGGTAGGTTCGACACCAAAGCGCACGTTCGAAAGCGCAGTTATCATTCTTAAAAATCGGAGAAGAGCAAGTAGCTGTGCAACCTTATTTTAAACAAGTCCGTACTAGCAGTTTCCTCGGCAAGTCGCGCCGAGCAGCAAGCTCCTCAAAATGAATTACTCAACCGCGGTCTTATTCTAATTGTTAAATTATCAGGTCGTGCAAATATGACACCAACCCTTCAAAGGCATTCACTTTAAGAATATGACTAGGAAGAATGGGACGGAGGCATCTGACATTATCGTTCAGTAATTGCTAGGTGGCCATCGTATGGTCTTTGCGACTGGTAGTCAACTTCTCCCATTCCGAACAAGGTGCCAGTGAAGAAATGAGTGATATTTGGTAATGTAATCTAAACTTAAGAGGGGGTGCTCACCTTGATTTCGTTGTATAAGGGTCCATCAAGAATTGTATTACCGCCGATTGCAATCTTTAAGTGCTTCCTCTTAAACTGCACAGTAACCTGGCGGCTCTTTATACGGGTAGGGAGCTGCAAATAAAGACAAGCGTTTAATTGTCAATACCTGCAAGGTTAGAATACTATAGGGCATGTGGTAGAGGCAACAAATTTCGACTGACAAGTAAGATCACCTATTTATGCGGAGGTAAGACAGGGACTGGAAAATGTTCGGTTTTAGCCGCAAAGATGCCCACCATTTCTGCAGGTAAGAATGAACCTAATAAAGGTCTTCCCTGCAGATGAGGCAGACGTCTTCCACTTGATATGAATGCCATCATGCCTGACTTAGTCGTCATGGTTTATATCTTACGTGATGCTCCCTCGTGCGCCGTGGTCTTTTCCTTGGTGGTTAAGGCTGAAGAACCACTTCGAGATCCTAACGGAACGTGTGAAGTCAGTTTTTACGTCGACCGTTTTTAGGCACTTTTAGCGACAAGGTAACTTTGAATCTAGGTCAACAGCACTGAATTGCTGAGATGGGTGTTCAACTACACCGGGTTGCTTATGATATGGTAGGGGTGTTGTCAAAACGAGAGTAGACTGACTTATTCGAGGCATTTTGCGTACTCCGCTCAGAGACACTTTCTCAAAGGATGATGGTTAAAACTTTCCACATTCGAGTTCGCCATGTGCATGGTGAGCAAAGCATCTGTGGCCATAAAGGACAGCAGGAAAGATGGGTGTTCAATAATCGGCATGTACTCGGGGTTCATAACTTTAAAATCTGGATTCTTTGCACTGAGACAGTTTGGTCAGCCTGCCCGCGTCCAGCAGGGGGTCCAGCCCCAGTGCATCTCGTCCGCTTTCGCATAAAGCGCTTTACTACCTTGGAAATGGTGACAACAGAGACCCTTGCTCAAATGTCCATGAAATAGTTCCCACAGCTTATCTTATTGCCCTCCTCGAAAGAAGGAAAAAACTCGCATGTCACAATCAACAGGCAGGATTCTACCCCCTAAACTTGTTTAATCCCATAATGGTGTTACAGCACCAATGTTATTATATGATCTGTAAATTTCCGCAGATATGCGGTGTTCTGTGAGCTTATTGTCGATCAACAGCTTCAGCACTACCTTCGTAGTTCTGTCTAAGGAGAGGGGGAGCAAGGGGTTGCACAACAGACTGAAAAAAGGAGATGATTCAAGTGTCCCACCCACGCACTAGACGCAGTTTGCCTGTTTCAATCACCAACAATAACCGGCAGGTAACGGCAAGGAGGACTGTGTTCAACTGTTATAATTGTGCGTAAGTGGTTTCATCACGCCGGTCAGCGCCTGATATATAAGCGAAGACAAGAACGATCTATGTTAGAAAAGTGTCATTTTATTTGCATGTATGCTGGATCGCCACCGGCTGACTCCACACAATCGATGCTCAGTTTGCCTTTCGATCGGGCGCTTGCTATGTCGTGTCGCAGAAGCAACGCGTGAAGGTAAAGGAGGAAGTTCGGCCGAAACGCGTATGATCAAGTTCCCACGCACGTTAACATGCAATGACTCGAACCGGTTGGTAATAAGTCGAAACTAACAACTGTCGCCGTCCCATTCAGCATGCCAGTTCGTTTAAAATTTCCATGCCTCCGTGAGCCAAGTTAAGACGCAAAGAGTTTCCGGACAGCTAAACTAGCCGGGGCTACCCACATCTACGTAGAAAAACACATCGTAGTGACGTTACACACAAAGCACATCAGTGTCTTGGTCCTGAAAACATTATGCCAACTACTCGATTAAACAGGCAATTGCTTTTGAGGCATTATGGATATGGACCCAGTAGAGGCTCTAGTGCTTCTGATCCAATTCCAGGTAGACAGATGAGACTAGAAAACGTAACAGTTAATATTAACTAGGACAATGTCTCCGCCAGAAGTTGTTTCAAGATGACGACAGGTTAACCGGAAAATGTGCTAAAAAGCATACCATACGTAACAAAAAGTACCTTCGTTGGAATGTAGAGATCAACATCGCCGAGAGTTTGCACCCAACGATAGTTTGGGAGATCCCCTCCGTTGCCCTCGTTTGGTTTGAGCTTGTCTTTGTCTGCCTCGTCTTCCTCCTCCCCCTCTTCAAGTGGGCCAATCTTAACAGGCTTTGGTTCAGACTTTTCAGAAGTTGCAGACACTTTGTCCTCTTTGGTCTCAACTGTGGAAGTTTCCTCACCGTTTGCGCTTGGCTCATCAAAAACTTCTTCGATAACAACACCTTTGTGTGTATCTTCAGAAGCGATAAAAATCACATAAGTTCGCTATTGACGTCTATATTTGCAAAGTACACTGAAATGCTCTGGGACACCGTCCCGAGATGCAAAATGGCGACTACAAACCTTGGCGATAAGAAAGCCAAGAACGGCAACACACCAGAAATACTCAGTTGTTCCAGCCATTGTGGCGACTCATGAGCAGTTAATGCAAAAATGGGCAAAATTAACCAAGTGTCCATACCACTGTCTCCAGCAGCTTCCGCCGCCTTCTCTGCGTTTTTCCGCAAAGCTTCCTCAGCTTTTTCCGCTCGCCTACGCTTCTCTCGCTCATCCTTTTCTCTCATCTCCTCTTTCTCTTTTTCACGGCGAGCGGTGGCGACATCCTACAGGGAGAAGATAACAGCAAGCATTCATCCGCACCTTATAGCTTTTGAAGTTATCAAGAACCAACTTCCTAGCTGCGGCTTCTGTGGAACCGTAATAAAAGTCCGTTCGCCGAGCAAGAAACCCGAAGAAAGCTTCCAGCAAACCTTGGATTCCATTAGGGCATTTTTGGGCTATGTTGATGAACAGGCCGTCTAGCGAGTCGTCCATAATCTACGAAAGCGATCGTTAGTTGGGGCCGCAAAATCAAATTTGGCAAAAAGATGTGTCTTTAAAAAATTTATTCAAATAGAAAGTTTGCCGCTGAGAGCAAGATCGGGTTCAGGCATATCGGGTGGGGGGTGGCCAAAGACAGCCATGGTTTCACAGGTAAGGAACACCAAATCGAGCCAAGAACTGACAGCAATTCGCAACTTCTTCAGCTGTGAAAGTGAATTCGCCTCGGCCGACGCCAAAGCTGGTGAAAATTCGGCAACGATCAAGTTATCTCGCACAAAGAACTCTATGTTCACGGTGGATCTCGGAGGGGGAGGGTCGACGGCGAGGGCCCTGTAAGCAACAAGGGCTGCTGTCTGGTTTGGAAAGGGGATCTCAATTCTCATTATGCTGTCGTTTTTGGTGTTTTCCATTAAAATGATTCGCTTGGACGTTCTGATGAACTTTCGAGAACCCTACAGAAGATCAGACAAATTCTTACGTACTCGGATTGATCCAAATGGTCCTGAATCAGAGTTTTAGATGCTTCAATTTCACGTCTGACAGTAGCACTGACACGCTACTAACAGGTAAACGGAGTCGGACGGCTTACCTCACGTTCTAGTGCTTGCTCGACATGCACATAAACGATCGTGGCAGCTGTTACTAAGCAAGAGGCGGCGAGAGTTGCTTTAGACGCAAGTGACATGAGTTGCGCGCATTTGGGCACGTAAGTCAGCGTGGCGATTAAGGCTCCAGATCAAGTTGGGGGAGATTATTAATGCCCTTCAGTAGCTTGAAAATCTGAATGCATAGTTGGAAAAATAACTGCAGGATTCTTGTACGAATAGTTCGTTGAAGATTCGTACAGTGTGCACGCTTGTGAATTTATTGTCGCTGCTAAAAAATCTGTAAGGCAAGACGCTGAAAGATACGAGGAATCGATATGTGCGAATATGGTCATTATAAACAATACCGAAACTTTGGGTAGAAGATTGACAACGATACAACTTACAAGTTCTTGCAGGGTTTTATTAACACTTAATCCGTCAATCTTAGTTTTAAATAAAAGTTCGAAATTTCCACCACCTCATGTCAAATATTTGCTCTGAGATCAAGTCCTTCGTTCTTTTGCAAAACGCCGAAAAATTATTTGTTGCTGCCCTCATGCCCTCCACGCATCACTTATTCATTAACTCAGGGAATGCCTCAACACTGAAATAGGGACCAGGAGGTCGCTGCACTTGTTGGTGGATCTCGGGCCTGAGAACCAAGATTCGGACAGCTCGCGGCTCACGCGGTTGTAAGCTCTTGTGAAGATCTCGGTCTCTAGAAAAATGGAAATATGGCTGAGTTCCGTAGGGTAAGTCGCCACTCGAGAGCCAACGTCTTTCCTCCCCGCTGCTGCTGCGTGCTCAGTCATCGGCACCTGGAGACATGTGTTATCCTAAAAAGGGGACAAAAGCCAGCTTATACAGGCATGCTATAAAGGTGCCAGGAAATCTGTGCCTGTGTTGGTTCTGCCCATACTATGCGAATGGGCAACTTGACCAGTCTACCAAGCCTGGGTACTAGGTATGAGAAATAGCTCTGTACAGGCTGAACTGTCAATATTTTCTGCTTAGCAGCCTTTATCTGAGCCCCCAAATATAAGGCGTTTAATAAAATGAAGAAGTTCTTCATTTAGCTCAAGAGAATGTTCAAATTTAGAAAGAATGACCAATAAATCCTAATGCTTAAAGCTTACTCCATTTTATCAGAGTCTAGCAGTTAGGCAGAACATACATATGCACGAAACCCACCTCATCACAACATCTGAAGCCGTGGAGTACAGATTTGAAGACAAAAAACGACCACGGATTTAGCTGTAAGAATTCGACACGAACGTACTGGGATTGCATGAGTATGGCGAACTTTCAACTTTCGAAATTCACAAGTCATTAGGATAGTAGAGCTAGGGTAAGCACAATGTGATCATGGTTTATCGACGTTCCGTAGCTCTATGTTCATAAAATGGGTACACTGAGATGTTAAACCTAAGAAAACTCTAAGATACAAGGTCCGTCCATTATTAGTGGTTGAGACTAGAGGTGATATTTTTAGAAACTAGGGCCATACAACCAAAGATTACGGGAGTAGAATGCCACTGGCATGCTGGGAGTTACGGGACCTTGCATAGGACGGGCTATTGGATTATGAATCGGCGTTCCGAAATTATTCATTTAGTATGGGTTTCCTCATTGCTACCCATACCTTGACAGCATGTCAGTGGCGCGCAGTTGTCTTGATTAAACGTTTAGCCGAAATATGACACCCGGTCGACAATTGGGTAACGATGTGCCTAGCCGCCAAGCCTGCGGATTAATACGTTCGATAAACGGTGAGTCACGTATATAGGATACGGACGAGGCCAGTGATAATAATTGGACTATAATCAGTGGTATGTTAAATTTGCATGCGTAGAAAGACTTGATGAGGTGAGTGGCAAGAGACCACACAGTATGACTACGCGGACAGTCTTTGCATTCCAAATTACTTCATATTGATCCAACTGCGAAATCTCGGCGCCTCGGTGGGATACTAACCCACGACAGCAAGTACAGGACCATGGTACAGCCAAAGCTCTAACCACCTGAGCTACGGGGCTCCATTGGAAGACGTCAGTTTAAATACATTTGGGTCATTTTAACCGCCCAACCTACTGCAACGTCTGAAATTCACCAAATCTGATATAGTAAGCTGACTGCCCAAGCAGGATTTCCGAAGTCATCCACCTAGGATCCACCAGATGAAAACCAGGCTCATGTAACTCATAGAATAATCCAAAATCTCTCAAAACATTAATGAATCTCACAGTTTTTACAGTTGGGTCAATACTAATAATTGGGAATCTGCCAAAACATCAGTGAATTCTAAATCACATCTAGTTTAATGTTGGGATATATCAAAAGAGCTTGTACGATTAGAATTAATTATAACTCCCTGCTTCGGATGGGAGATAAGACCTCAGATTGGTGTGCTGAAACCAAAAGTTGGTTTAGGTCTGCCTTATTTATACTTAGGTCTTTTGGTAATGTCGAGCGAAAACCATTGCCTTGATTATGACTAATAGGCGCAACATGCCTAGGACGGGCCGGTGGAAATTGTCGGACCTGCAGACAAACACTGCCACCTAAACGATATCTCAGCCTTCGCCGATCTAGTCGCCGAGCCTAATGCGTAGCGGGTTCACTAACATAACGGAGTCAGCGTGCAGTGCGCGACCGAAACAAAAAGGATCTTAATCATTTAATGTGAATTGGAGTAATCACCCTTACGAATGCTGCCAGCCACTAATTCCAAGCACCCAATAATCTACTTAATTCAGACATCCACAGAAGAACCAGTTATGCAAAGCTGGAGTATGTTCCTCACTAAAAAAAAAAACGAACTGAAAGCACAAGGAAATGCCAAATCTTGTACTATCGTTAGAATGGCATTCATCGATGTGGTACAGGACGTGTTTGAGCCGTTGTGCTCTAGGGATCTGGCTGTGCTAACCTTGGGTTGAATGCGTCTGAGAGACGACGACTTGTAAAACAGAAAGGTCCATCCCGGTCTCTACTGTGTTTGTTGAGACACGTTCGTTAACAGGGACTGCTGCTACAAGTACGAATGTACAACTGACAAGCGCCCAACTACTAACCGACCGAAAACCCGTGGTGCATAAGATGCAAGCCAAAAAATTCAATTTTGGAACGGAAGCCATGCATAAAGCCAGATTTTTGGAACTCATCAGAGTAATATGTAGTGCTCGCTTTGAGCTAGAATATTGCCTAAACACATGGCCATGCATGATTCCAAGCGGATAAATGTGCTCTCCGTTATTTCAGTTTATTTAGTAAGGAAGATAGACAAGGCCTTTGAAAACCCTGTCGATTACATGCTAGTACGTTGTATGTAATTGCACCCGGACAGCGAAAAAAGTGTCGCTTTCGAAATGGCACCTGCATGATTTAAGTAGCACTATTTTAAGAGGCGAACTTTCCGGGTCCGCGGGGTATTCAGCTAAGGTTCAGACTGCCGGGAGGAAACAGAGGACACAAACAATTATCTGAGCGTTTCTTGGAGAGCTGTAGGGCCGTCGCCTACAAGACTGATTGAGGGATATCACTCAATTACTCTGCTACCCTCTAGGTAAAAAATTCAGAGCGGAGGTTCGGCCTGGACGCTTTCGTCGCAACTTCGTCGAGCGGCCACGAATATTTGGCAAGGGATGCAACTTAAACATGTCTTCGAATGGCTAGCCAGTACTATCTGGGAGTAGCGTTGTTTGCGTCCTATCGGAGGTACGGTCTACAGTATTTGCTCTGCAAACATTGACAAATACCATCGTTTAAGAGCTAGCCGTATCTCGTTGAGGCAAAACACGCAGTCGACATGTTCTGGCAGTCTGACTTTCAAGTCAGATAATGTCCATCATGTGCCTCAGAGCATGGTGGGCGCAGGAAAGGTCCCTTGCGCGTGAGCTGGCTTACAGAAATAATAAGCTTGCATAAAATTCACCACGCATTCTCCTCCTCTCTACACCTGGGCCTGCTGTCACGACAGAATCAAGAAGACTGGAGGCGGGAGAGGAGAAGATGACTAGTGCGGCGTCCACACGCCCTAGGCTTGCCACCCCTTGTCCGCGTAAAAAGGGCCAGGTTCCCATGAAAACAACAAACGGGTGAGCAACTTGTATGCTAAATGAGAAGGAGTGACAGAGGCCATAATAAGAAGGAACCAAAACACTCCGACTCTAAGTCCACGAGTCGGCCATTCATGACAAGCACAAATAGGATTGTATAATAATAATTATTATTAGTATTATTGAAGACCCGTCAGGGTCCCATCAAAGCAAGTAAAAATAAATTTACATGCGAATTTTAGACGAAGTAGGCAAAATCTGTACAAAGTGCAAGACATAGATTTTGAGATTAGAAGTCCGTTCAGAAAAATGATAAGCGAGGAGTGAAAAAACTCCACATTAAAATTTAAAAATGATGGGATTAATTTTACCGGAGAAAAAAAATCCCTCAAAAAAAGAACCAGACAAATTCGGGCAGGACTGGCCTGCATGCAGCGGTATAAAATGGATTAAATTCGGACAGCGTTAGGGCCGAAATAAATGTCAGCTGTATATGGCATTGTATAACGGATTTCATGAAGGGGTAAGTAGGCGGGTCGGTCAGGACTGGCATGTATGTGGCCTTGAATAAGGCAAATAAGTGGCGAAATTGAAAACCAGTCTCGAGGTGATAGGAACCCAGATGCGGTCGGTTACATCCAACCGAGTTCATCCGAAGATGGGGCAAGGGAGATGCGACCAGAATACTAGTATATGGCAAATACAGAAGGCTTCGCCAAGAGCGTCGGTGGAGCGCATTCTGTGAGAGCACGATGCAGGAAATGAAAAGTTGGAAAAATTAACATCTCTGGTGAGGGATCTTAGGAAGCGAGACTACTCACAAAGGAAGGAAATGAGAACAGATACGGAAATTTAATGGCGGTATACTAAATTCCCGGTAGCCCTTTCTCTGTGTCATAGAAAAAGTTGTCTGGGAAGGAGGAGGAAACTAAAAGTCTAATCGAGCCAGTATTCGGATAAAGACGTAGCCTTCTCTTAAAGGTGTGTAGATTTTCTGAAGATCTTATATTTATTGGAAGGTTATTCCAGAGGAAAGTATATCTGGAAGCGAAAAAAAGGGAGCGCTTACAGGTGGAAACCGCTGGGGGAGGTATAATCAAGGACGAGTTGCGAAGATTGTATGGGCGACTACTAGGGGTGAGTGCTGAAATCAGAGGAAAAGTTGAACTATGATTAATGCGAAAGAGGAGACAGAAGCCTGCTTCTAGTCTTCGAATCCATAAAATTTTTAGGTTAATTAGCTGACATCTATCTGTGTAGGAGATATTTGGATGCTCATGATTTAAAAGTTTTTTTAGAAAAACGTCTTTGGACATTTTCAATTTTTAAACGACTAGCCTCATTCATCGAACCAAAGAATGGGCAACAATACTCGAGAATGGGAAGTACAAACATACGATAGAGCCTTAATTTAATTTCAGGAAGATAGAAATAGTAAGAAATAAAGCCACAAATCTGGGCAGCTTTGGCCTAAATTCTGTCAGCGTGTGGTGATGAATCAAGATTACTAGTGTAGCTTAGACCTAAATCCTGGATGTTGGTACATTCAGTCATAGGTGTGCCTTGAAAACCACTGGTTGTGGTAGCCTCTCAGGTCCAAAACACATACCCGACATTTAGACGGAGATAATTCCATTAACCATTTTGAGCTCCAAGCTTAGAGAGCAAGCAAGTCAGCATGGATTTTTTCCAGGCAATGATGGCTTGTAGATTTTTTGAAAGAATATACACATTTGAGATCATCGGCATAAATAAATTTTTGAAAATGTTTAACTGCTGCCGAGATATCATTGATGTAAAGCAAGAACAAAAGAGGACCTAAAACGGTGCGTTGTATGACACCTATTACAATGGGGCTTTCACTAGAAGGTGAAGATCCCACCAAAACCTTTTGTTTACGATTAGATATGTATGACCTGAGAAAGTCTGTTAGTGGACTGCGAATTCCCATAGCTTCCAATTTAACCAAGAGTCTTTTATGTGGTTCTTTATCAAAGGCTTTACTAAGATCAAAATAAATAACGAGAACAGATAGATGGTCAGAATAGCATTACCGACAAAGACAAGGGAGACTGGAATGGCCATTTCTGGCTTATTAGCCGTCGTCAGCCAGCCATACCCAAGCCCGAAGTGTGAAACACCCGAACCTCGAACTCGCGACCTGTTGGTTTAGAAGTCCACGCCTCTACCATGCGCCGCTGTGCGGCTGCTGGGTGGGCTCGAGAGAGAGTCCATAAGGCACAACGGAACGAGTGAGTTCCGTATGAGCGATCGGTGAGCGCCCCCTACCACTAGATAGATGGTCATAACGAAGAGAGGTAAGTAGATTGAGAAACGACAGATGACATGTTTCACAAGAGCGATCTGGTAAAAAACCATGCTGGGACGGGCTAATAACTTGATTGGCTATGCAAAAGTCGGTAATTTTTACGGCGATAATTTTTTCAAAGATTTTGGCGAGAGAGGGTGTTTTATGGACACCTCGACAGTTCTGTACGTCAGAACGACAGCCAGACTTAAATACTGGAGTAGGAATAGAAGTTTTCCAATAGACAGGGCAGAAGCCATTTACGAGAAAAACTGAAAAGATTTTTCTAAGCAGAGGAGGAAAATCTCTTAGCTGTTTTATAAAAGAGTTTGGGATATTGTCCGTACCTGCTGAGTGAGAGTTAGGAAGATGGCTTATCAGTTTTTGAATACATTCAGGAGAAAAATTAATGATGCTACGAGAAGCATCAGACAACGGAGGAATTAAAGGGATTGGGTCAGTTTCAATAGTAAAATGTTTGGCAAGGAACGAAGTTAAAATTTCTGCTTTGCCTGACGCCACTGTAATGAAGGCATCGTTAGTGCTAAGCAAAGGCGGAATGACTTGGTGTGACTTAGCAGATGATCTTTGACGGAAGATCTGAGCAGCTGATTTAGAAGCATTCATGTCATTAATAGCTAAAGACTCTACGTCTATTTCGCGCGAGGTTGTGTTGCACAGAGTGCGGAGATGTCTGGGGAAGCCGAACCGTGCGCTGAATTTTCGTTGGCAACGTGGATATGTTGAAAAGGACTGGGTGTTGGCGTTGTCGAACGTAGGCGCTTGAGATTTTCGGACTGATCATTTGGCAGTGGCAGCGAAGGTGAAGTTGGCTTTGCAGACCGCTGCTGCAGTCTTCATTGCTCTTCTTCAGGACCGTCGGATTTAGACGATGTCCTCCCAGGTCACCTGATTAATTTTTAAATCCTTAAGGGAGATCCTCACTTTCTCCATGTAATTTTGCTGTTTTCCTCCTTTTGGCGACGAAACCTATCGGTTCCACCGTATAAAAGTCGCCAGGATAATTGTTCAACGTCTATCCTCAAGAGATGGCCGCTCCCACGCAGTTGTATTTGCCTCCGCTTGGCGTACATACAGAGGAGTCGGGTCCATTCAAGGACTTCCGTGTCGAGGATCCTGTACTATCACCTTAGTTTTACTGTTGTTTGGAGGCAGTTGACTTGGAAGTGGAATAGGTTATTGACTTGGATAGCGTATACGGTCCATGTTTCTGCCTCGTATAGCACCGTATTCGGGACTACCGTCCTGTGCATTTTGAGCTTCGGGTTAAGCCAAAGTTCGTGGAGATTCCAGAGAGAAGCCTGCATCCGGCCGAAGGCTTGACTGGATTTGATGGTCCGTTGAGTCATATCGTCGTCGATTTTGACGTCAAGTAAGAGCCTGCGGCCTAAATTGTCAAAATTGACCACTTATTTAAGCTGGGGGTCGCTGACAGTGGTGCGAGGGACGTCGTACCCAGTTTTGGAAGACAGATGGTGCACAGCCACCGTTTTGTCTGTGCTGATGGTAGGTCCAAAATTGGCGCAGCCGGCGACGAAAGGATCCATGCCCCGTTTCACATCCGACTCTGTCCCAGTTTTTAGCGCGCGGTCTCTTGTAGCTGGCGTGCAACGAGGATCATGTTGACTGTTCCATAGTGTCGACGGAAGTCACACTAGCCTTTTGGGAGATGTCTGTGAGTTGTGTTGAGTAGGATGCGAGCGGAGATCTTCCCGCGATTCTGAGTGGCAGGATTCCCTGAGATTATCAGAGGATCGCCGATCGCCTTTGCACTTAAAGAGACGGGGGATTGTCGTGTCCTTACAATCCCCGGGAGTTGTCGTTCGTTCCACATCTCCTGGAACAGCGTTATACGTTTGTCCATCAGCCGAGGACCAACATGCTTGTAGACTTTAGTCGAACTCGCGTCGGATCCCGCGGTTTTCGCGCCGAAGATATGTAACACAGCTCCAGTTGTCTCTGGGGGAGATGGTGGGAGGCCCAGGTCGTTGGCCATTTCCAACTGAGGAAGCTGGGCGATGGCAGCGTCGGAGATAGTGAATAAGTTATTGATGATGGTTCTGGAGTGCTCGATCCAGCACTTTAAAAATGGCAATCTCTTCGCGAGAGGTGTAGTTCCGTCGATGCTGAACATGGGCGTGGTTCTGTTTAAACGAATAGAGTGTTTTTATGGAAACGAAAAAGTAATTTGTTTTGTTGTGGTTCACATACCCTTGAATTACCTCGGTCATGCCATTCATCCAGGCATGTTGTATCTCTCGCGGCGGCTTTAATAGCATCGGAACAGCGGGTGAAGTCTATTATTCTCGTTGAGTAAGTTACGGATTTCTTCTTCGTTGTCGTTTAACCAGTTCTGGTCTTGACAAAATGGGCGACCGTGAATGTCCAGGGGGTGAAATGGATGACGTTCCACAGCTAGCGTAATTGTGTCTTCACAGCAGCGTTGTCGGCTGAAGTCTGCAATTCTTGCAGTCGCTGCCTCAAATGATTGCTGAAGTCGAAACGGGGAGTAGGACAATTTGACAAGACGATATAATACTGCCAACAAAAACAAGAGAGATTGTTTCTCGAGACTGAACTTCAAGGCGGGACGGACGAGTGATTTCCACAACGCAATCGGCAAGCGTCCCTATGCCATTGTTAAAAAGAACAGTAATTAACTTACCTGGTGGTCGCCAACCCCATGTTATTCTGTTGTGTTGCAGATGGAGTCCCATCTTGGAGATGACGAGGCTGTGGTCCATCCAGCCATGGGTGTCACGGATCGCCTTGGTCAACAGCACGTTCTGTCGATCTCGACTCCAGACGAGGGCTTGGTCCTGCGACTGCCAGCGCCGAATTCGGAGGTGCATACGGGTCGACGTCTCCCGCATCAGAATGCGGAAGAAGGTATTGGTGCAGAGGAAGTAGTTTTCTGCACGGGTTTGCAGAAGGAGGAGACCGCTGTCGCTGAAGCCGCCGATCTCGCGAGGACCCAGAACTCCCTTCCATCGCAGCGAAGTCTGTCCCAACGCGGACATTGCAGTCACCAAAACAACCAACTTATTCGCTTTCGGCACAGACGCCAAAAGGGCATACAGGTCTTCATAGGATCTTGTGTTGGCCTCGTCAGAGCCGGTCGTTGGGGGGGGGGGCGTAGGCGATAATAATGGTGGCGAAATGAGAACCCCGAAAAGGCTGGCGTGGACTCATCAGTCTGTCGTTTATGCCCTGCGGCAGACAGGGCAATCGTCCCTCGATGTCCTTCCGGATAACAAAGGCGACGTTGACGTCTTGTTGCTCTGCTTTTGGCGGCCGCTCCACAGTAAAGTGTAGCCGGCACCCACCTTCCCTAGTTGACCTTGTACGGAGAAGCAAGTCTCGCTAAGTGCAATAGTGTCCACCTTGTAGCGCGTCAGTTCTCGGTCGACGAGTACCGTTGTTCATTCTGGTCGGTTGTTTCTCAAATTGTCAAAGGCGGAATGTCGATGACATTTGGAATACAGTGACGAAAACTGAGGAGTACCTTTACTAGAGACGAGTGGCTGTCAGTAAAGAAAATGTTCTTCCTCACTTTGTAAACCTTCATTCATAGGACGAATGGGAAAGAAACCACCAGTGCTCTTCCCCCTCTTCTCATTAACAGTGGCTTACGCGGACATATGCACAATCTCGTTAACAACCCTGAAGATCTGTCATAATCAAGTTCTTTATGATGTAAGATCTGTTCAAAAATGTACCTAAAGCCAGATTTCGGATAATAAGTCCTCATTTCCTGAACCAGGACTAAACACATGTATAAGTGGGTCATCATACTCAAGTCTACCTCACAGATTTCGCAATTTATGCTAACTAAAATGGACTGGTCTGGAAACAAGTTTTCCTGTGAAACCGTTGGGAGGCAAATTCCTACTGGTTTTGCCTCTTACGATCGGGTATCTTTTTGCTGATCAGTCCAGATAAGGCATAATTGGAGAAGCTTGGTATGGCAGAACTGTTTTCAGTCAGAGGTCTACCCCGTGTATGAAAGGTGACTTCAGATGAATTAATACGGTAACATGCTCGTTTGTATTTATGAATATCCCTTAGCATTTAAATGGTTGCCATTTTCGACGAAGCATTGACAAAGTCAATTCCTTAAGGTTACAAGTTTACAAGAAAGCAAGTGCAGCTAAAAGGCTGTATAAGTTGAATCTGAAAGCCCCCAAACTGTATGGGTAAACCATACGTGATGGAAACTTTTTCATAAATCCCATTGTCTCTAGAAAATTATGCAAAAGCGCATCAAAGCCACGTATTTTTAAGGAGTGATATACTTTGTAAATAACAGGAAGATGGAAGACTATATTGACACTACCCGAAATTTTCATCCATTCTCATGGACGTTGTAGAGAATAAACCTCTCAAAGATCTTCCCCGATTGTTAACCGAAACACACGCATTCTGCCTGTTTCACAGGAGAATAAACCTAAATTCAAGCAGATGCATTCAATTTCCCAAGCTCCCAGGGCAACTGTGCAGGTTCGCATCTAAGTCGGTTTTTTGGCTAAGTTATTAGAAGGGAAGAATACCTTAGTAACCTAATCCACAAACAAGGGTTGGCTCATATGGTGTACTTGCAAATAGCAGAAACAGGATAAAGTACACAGACACTATGTCTAATTGTTTATTTATGCTCGAGGAAGTTAAAGATAATATTTCTTTCAAGGATCTTTATCGGCTGAAGACCGAAACGTACGTATTCTGTTTGCCCTTTATGCCATCTTAACTTCTGCGTACTGGCGCTTACGGAGGAGTGAAAAATAACTGAAAGAGCTGAACTAAACTGTGGAATGAAGTATGGCAGTTGCATTAAAGGACAGGCAAGGCAATGGGTTTAAGAAGGTATTTTATAGTCAAACATTTTGCATATTCGAGGGCTGCCATAGTGTCTGAAAACTGCCGATAAACCTCCCATGCTGCGCGAGGGACAGCTCACTTCATTATCTGGAACCGTTGTTTCTTGATCTTACGACTGCTACATAGTCACTGTGGGACTCATTGCGTGTCAGACGCGAAAGCGATCCGTTGGAACTTAAGCTGATTGTCTTCGAAATTCGGAGAGCAGACCAGCAAGAGAGGAAAATGTGCGATTTAATTATACAGGTCTTACTGGCGAATACATAGCAGCGACCATGCGGAGCAGCGATTCCCACACGTCTAACACCAAAACAGCATAAGAGGATGTCTGTTATTACTGTATATAGGGTTTCCAAAAATCTGACGAGACTACTCTAAGTTAGTTTCTGTTCGTTTTCAAAGATATAAAGCCTGGTTTATTGCTGAGATCCAGGCACACTACATTCTGGAACGCAGGAACATAAGTCTCCGAGAGGACATCTTACACGACCCTTAACCAACTTCACCCTGATCGTAATCTATAGTTTTGCGCAGGTTACCAATACATGCTTTGGCATGTGTCGTTAAGCTTTTTACGAGAAAAATTTTTGCCTCACAAGCACACGTTTGAAAAGATTATTGTCATCTATATCTTTTTGATAACTCGTACTTCCGAATTCCATAGTCAACCTATCGATCTCATTTAGGTATAAAATTACTCGATCGTCAATCATGAAGTATCCACATGGAGCAGAAGGTAGTTTAAATTAATCCGATAGAAAATACCCTTGTTCAAACGAAACAGTCGAGGAAAAATAGCTGGTGACATACGTAAAATGTGGTGAAAGTTCAACGCATAAAACATTGGAACATATCGATTGTAGTGAAAACGCGATTCCCAGGTGGCATATCAAAAGAAGAGGAGGCGTTTAACGGGGTAGGTTTATTAGAGGGCTGAGGTTTCGAGCAGTTACTTCGTCCACCCATCTTCCGATACTAGGAAGTCATGCGAACAGCTGTTCTTATATGGCGCACTTTATTTGATGTGAGGCCCGGCAATGCTGCCTGTGTGACTGCATCCGACCTGAATGCCACCGTGACTTGAATCACCCCCGTCCTCTTCGGACGCGGAGATAGTTGACGGTCCCGATTTTCCGCGTCGTGACTGTCTCCCGTCAAGAAGTTTCGGAAAACCAGGTAGGAGTGAAGCAAATTGATTTGGCGGTTGACAGAGCATTTGGTGGACATCCAGGCTTCTTACACCTGTATTTCCGTGTGATCATCGCAGCGACCCACAATCTTAACGGCGTCGAAGTTGAGGATGTGTCCCATTTGCGCGGTATGGGTTGTTACCTCCGACTTTGGGTTCAACCTTCTCAGGGCCAACTCATGCTCGCGCTTTCGCGTTTGTGGTCGTCGGCCGGTTTCTCCAACGTAGTTGCATATCCCACAATTGCACTGAATTCGGTAGACAACGGCCGATATCATCTGCATCTCTTTCCGGCGGACTGTTGAGTCAGGCCTGTGGAAAACGTCCATTCCGAGTGGCGCGAGAGATGTAGCCACGGTTTCAGAGACCCCTTTTATGTAAGGACAGTAACGCCACGTTTTTGGCTATGTCCTTCATTCCGCTTCCTTGGCTGCCTTCGGCTCCGTTTAACGAATGCCGGCGGATAGCCATTGGCGCTGAAAAGTTCTTTAAGGAGCTTATTCTCGTCCAGTTTGGCGGCTGGCATGCATGCATTGAGTTTCCACTCATCGGTATAACGTGCGTAGTGGGTGGTTGCCGTTGTAACTGAGCATCTGTGGCGTGTACGTCGGTTTTCTGTAGACTGATGTCGCCAGTATGTTGTCTGGATGGCAGCAGACGAGAACATCCAAGAATGGCAGTTTTTATTTTTCTTCCTCTTTCGTCGGGAACTGTAGATCGGGGATGACTGAGTTCAGCAGCTCTGCATAGTAACTAATTTTATCCCGCTCAATGATTACGAAGGTGTCGTCAGAATAACGCGCCCAAAACTTGGGTTTGTACTCCTCGAACAGTCACCTCTCGAGTTTTTTTAGAACTGCCTGGGCAGGGAGCACGGAGATTGGTGAACCCATCGGAGTCCCCTTACTTTGCTCCCTAGTGACCCCTTCGAATGTAAAGAATGTCCCGAGGCAGGGCTCCATGAGTTCCGTAAGATCCTGAGTCGCGGACTGGCCTCATCATACTTTTGACCTAGCAGGCCGCTAGGCGTTTCGATCTCAAGGTGGTATGGATGCGAAGAGTGAGACGACATCAAATGACGCCATCCTCTCATTCGGTTCGATCGTGACCATTCTTATTTTGTCAAGGAATTGTTCTGTTGAGTGCACTGTTTTTGTGCGTCCGCGGTTAGGAATCTTAGCTCCTGGAATAGCCAATTTGCCAGCCCGTATGTGGGTGTGCCACGGAGTGAGCCGATTGTTCGGAGGGGAACATCTGACTTGGGTACCTTTGGAGGACCATGGAATCTCGCTATCGGTGTTTCTGTGGTCTTTGCCATATACCAGAATTGGACGGCTATGGCCTTTTCCCTCTTTAGTCGAGCTAGAATTCTGTTAATTCTTGCCAGTAGATAGGCAGACGTAGTAACTACTCGAAACATCAGACTTCTGATAAACCCATCCCTGTGAACGCCTCCTCTTCTTTTGACACTTGGAAAAATTTGAAGGGGGTTCAGTGTCCTTATTGCTGTTAGCATAAGATAATTGCAAAATGCGGAAAAATGAAATGAATCAAGTAACATTAGTCCAAGGTTCGCTGAAGTGAACTCTAACCTGGAAGTAATGTGAGGATTCTGCAATGAAAACTATGCATTGATTATAGCTTCCAACTACCATCGGGAATTATAATCAATTTCTTCCATTTCAATAACTGTGACCTTAGCTATCAGCCTACTTCAGACGGACTTGCCTGCTGGAAATTCGTGAGGAGTTAAGCCACAGTAACGGCCTTCATCATAGCCTTCGCTTTCAAGTTCAATATGCTAAAGTTTTGAACAGACAGTTTGATGTTCATTGAAGCAGAACGAAACAGAATATAACTAACTTGCGACGGCACGACAAGGATTCTGGAATCACGGGTCCTGTCATTTGGTCGAACTCCCCGTTGTGACCATAAACACCTCGAGTGTGAGAAAAGTTGAGCGGCAGCGGTCAGGATGTTTGTAGGCAGTGGCAAACAAATGAGATCATTAAACGGCTAAGGATTGCTAATTTTTTTGACCTCACGCCCTTATAACTCATATTGTTTGCTGTCGCACAAACCCCCACACGCAAACCGTCACTGTATAAATGGGTCGCTTATCCTTTAATTTGACAGGCAATTGGCTACAGGTACTATTCTTCGTCCGTCCTATACAAAAACCTAGTTTTGCTGGGAAGTTAGAACTTTGTAGCATTAATAAGTTTCGTTAATGCAAAGTCCGACCTTGCCCATCAAGTGAGATACGTAAGCAATCGGGCAGGTATTTGTCTGGGTGGATCTACATTTTCACAAGGACTTTAATGCCCAACACCCATCGATTTCTGCAAAAGTACCAAGATGACTTGTTTTGTTTTTCGAAATAGAATAGCACCAGATTCTGAATGCAACAAAGTCACATTACGTTGGTGTACTTATAGCGCTTCCACAATGACTTTACCTCAATAGCGCGAGTAAAGTACGTACACCGCAGACATATATTTAAGTCAGCCAGAGTAACTGCACGAGTCCTAACATCCAGAGAATTGTATGCAAAATGAGGGTGCTGGCTTTCGCAGCATTGATTCTGCTGACTGGATGCGCTGTGGTAACAGCCAACGTAATACAGGTGTCTCTGACTGACGGAACGCCAGCAGCAGGAGCAACCGCAGCACTGCCTCCGAACACCTCGTCCGAAGACGTTGCAGAAAATGATGCACCAGCTGACAAGGTATCGGAACGTGTGGTCTACCTGCTAGGCACACGCACATCAGTAACCCAGGCGACGAGTCAGGGGGCGGATATATCGGCTGCTCAAAACCCCTGCAATGCATGGATGACACTGCTAGACCCTGAGAGACGATACAAAGACTGTCGAGTGATCAGTACTGCAGTTAACCGTCTTCTGCGTTACGTTAGACGGCAATTGGACTCGAGTCGCATGTACTTGTGGCTGAGGGGTCATCAAATTGAACCGAAAGATTTCGTCAACTTTGTGATTGGACAACTGTATCAGGCAGTGAATATTCCGGTCAGTGGGAACGATGATAGCTGGATGGATACTGAGTCCAGCAGCTCAGACTCAACGTCGTCCGCACAGGGTATCAGTCAACAGATGTCTTCCACGCCACTGTCGGTGTCGCCTGACCAAACAGTTGCCGACTCGTCTACGCAGTCACCACCTGTGCAGGTCACTGGGCCCTAATGAGAGGGCTATAGACGGAGCTTTACCCACAAGAACAGAAGAAGTATAGTGAAGCATGAGCGCTTGCTGGATCCATCTTAGCCATACCCAGTATTAAATCAATGAGAATAAAGTTTCGTAGAAAGTAAAAAACGAAATCGTAAAATACCTGTTGAGAATTCTACGAGCTGGGAAATGTGCATTACGTTGCTTTGGAATCTAATACCTAAACATACAGAAGTGTACCGCTTAACTGTGGCGTTCTTCTGTAAATCGAAGTTAGTTAAATTATGGGAGTTCTGTGAAAGCGAGAGCCTCTTAGCGGCTTTGCTGTCGAACTGCACATTTCAGAAAATGCGTTCGATCTTACTGCTGACTGACTGGTAGTTTTTGAGTCAGTAGGCATTCGAGATGAGAACAACTGCATGACAAACATAAGGTAATAGCAGCTATTCATGGAATCGTACCTGATTTCGTAGGGTGGGGACTCCAGTGTGATTCCTCTCTTCCCTCGGGAGTAATATCCTTAAGTTCTAGTTGACTACGTGCTTCGAATTGGAACGTCGCAATAAGGATTGAAGTAAAAGTAAATGTTATACGGTCATTGTGGTATTACCGTCTGAAGCAGAGCTAGAAGTTCTCGAAATGGCAGCGGACTATGATAGCCGAGTTATCCAGTCAGCATATGGATTTCCAGGCCACGAATTTTGGCGCATAGTAAGTTTCAAAACGCGCCAGACTTAATTTTAGTAAGGAGGGATCTGACGTGCCGTGGAAACGGCTTCGTCGGCGTCGACTTCATTCTGTCTTCCTTCTCTCACGCGCCAGACGGTCAGTCATCTTCCGCTAATATAAAAAGCAATGTCTAAAAAATCTTTGACAGCCGGTCTACGCGTGCCACACACGGCACAGTCAGGCACCAGGCGGCGCCAAATAACATGCTTCCCCACGGATGTGAGCGGTGCATGCTCTGTCCCTTTTGGGGTTCTGTGTGACGGGTTTGGGTGCGGCTTATCGTCCGGCGGGGCGAGGCTTGGTGATGGGACATTTTCTACAACGTTTTATTGCAGATTTTCAAAAAGACTTATACGGCCGATTAGACTGTATACGTGTGAGCAGGTGAAGCCGGTGCGATCAGTATGCGTTAGTGTCAGTGCGATGCATTCTGCAGTGTCGTTGCATGATGCAAATGTGCGGTAGTAGTAAGGACAGGATGGGACTGTGGCTAGTGAGGAGGCGGTGTGACGATGCTACTAGTGATGGTAGCGCTGCTTGGGGTAATATTGAAGTTTGTGATGCCGGTGATGTTGGATTTTTCAGGTTTAGGGCGTAGGTTTCACTTAATGACACTGTCGTTAATTACACCGCCGTTGACACCAGTGCGGGCAATTAAACTAATGCGTTTTGTGAACGTCCTGGGGCATTGTAAGCGGAAGACGCGTGTTCGACGGGTGTACGTCGGCGCTACAGCTACTGGTTCGTTCGACTCTGCAACGGATTCGTAGGTGACCCATCAGGCCATACGAAAGTGCAGTAGCATTGGTGACCAGTTGGACTGAGTTCATATTGTTGGTGTTTCAGACAGTGGCGCTAATGTTTTGCAAGTCAGTAGGAGTATCCTTATTAGTGCTGCTAATGGTGACGGTAGTTGTGGTGTGTTGTGGAACCAGAGGAAGGTTGGATTCGGTGAGATGACACTGAGCACGCAAATGACCAAAGAGGCCGACCCATGCCCGAAATATCCACTGACAGCGACGACAGGGGTTGAGTGTTAGCGCCCCTGTCCCATAGCGTACGATTCCTATGCGCTTTCCTCTCTATTTGCCCTGCCAGTCACTGTTCGCTTGACTTTGAAAATGACTACCCCATTCTTCACAGCAGTACATCATGCCTATCGATTTTGAGCGAGGTCCTTACAGGTTACTGAGTTTAGATGCAGATGCTTGAGCGAAGTCCTCAAGTTGCCCTTTTAGCGCCGTTTTTGTTCGCATTGTCTGTGACCAACCGCAGCGAAGTCGTCGCAGAATATCTGCTTAGACGGAGGCTCGTCGTCCACCATCAACATGCGGCCGCTCCGTCGCAGTTGTATTTACCTAAGCATAATCATGGATACTCAGGACGTTGGTTCTTTCCCAAGTCTCAGTGTCTGAAATCCTTTCTTGCCAGTTCATCTCAAGTATTTTTCGGAGGCAGCTAAGGTGGACGTGGTTGAGTCGTCGTGTTTGGCCTTTATGAATAATCCATGTCTCGCACGTGCAATAAGATTGCCGGTACAATTCTGTACACCCCCCATCTTGTTTTGAGTAAGATACACGACGGTTCCATACGGAGTTTCTCAATCAGCCGAAGCGCTAGTTGAGTTTGGATCTTCGGTCTTAATATTTCTTGAAATCGAACTTCCAAGGTACGCGAATTTCTCCACTGATATTCTTATGAGGTGCAGTGTAGTCAGAATTTAAAATCGGCGGGCGCAAAACCGTGCTTGTAGACTTCGGCTGAAGCTGAGTCTGCTCCTGGGGCTTTTCTGCCCTTGCTCAGTTCAGCTTGCCCTAAGAAAGAATGCGGACGCTAGAAAGTGTCACTGGTGTCTACCTGAGTAAGTTGGATTATGAGTTTATCGTATATTGTCTATGGGTGGTTGGGGACGTCCTGGAAGTGCACGGTCAAGAGATCTAGGGTGTGTGACTTCTGCGTAGGGATGTTGCTCCGTCCTGGCTTGTTAGTGATGCCGTCTCGTTGGCTTGTGGAAGGTAGACGATTCTGATGGCAGCACAACAGCTATTTAATAGAAAAGAACGAGCCGCCGACCAGATACCAGCCGAAATGTACAAGTATGGCGGTTCTCGACTCGAGCCCAAGCCGATTTCACTTAATCAGATGGTACGGAGAGAAGGACAAATCGCAGGAACTACAAGGACGTCACCACTGTTCACTTGTACTAGTGGGAGTGAACAAAACTCTGCGATATGCCCAGCTACATCATCCTCTTCAATATTACGAGCAAAAACCTTACCTGAGTATTTTTCAATCGTCTGAACACAAGCCTGGGACAGTGTCATCTTCAGAAACACGATGCTGATGCTGAAAACACAGTCGAACCACAGGCATAATCTCCGCAGCCGGCCAAATGCGAGAAATGTGACAGGATATGTAGACGAGTGCCTACACTACAGTTGTGAAATTAAAATGGGTATTTGACACAGTAAACCATCATGTACCCTGGGAAATCATGCTGAGATTCGGATGCGCAGAGTAATTTACGCAAATGATTAAACACTTTCTCGGCTGAATTATAGAGCGCGTCAAGGGCGATGGGTCAGTCTGGGAAGCGTTCGTGTTCACAAAAGAGCTCAGTTGATAAATAATCACGTCATATGTATATTTTATACGCGAAAAAGGAGCATAATTAGATTTTGAAAAAAGTTGTCTTATTCCCGAATAACCTGGAGCCGGATAAGTCGTTGCATTAGCGCTTAGTGATTTAAGTCTACGAGGTGAATGCGTTCCGTGTGAGGAAAATCACATACTTTTCTGTCTTTAAAAAGATATCATGTAGTGTTTATAAAATTTTCCAATGAATACGGACTATATTTTACATTTCATGAGTAGCAGTGGTAAACGGACAGGTAAAATGCTGTATGAATGGACACTGGACGGTCTTAAAAATCTCATAACTAAAGACGGTAACAATCGGGAGATGGCACCCAAAAAATCCGTTACCTAGAAATAATACCTTTTACGGTGGACTCAAACGCCTTCAGGCTATACCAGCGGTTGCAAGCCTACTTTCACGTACTACTTGAACTTTCCGCGGCGGCCTAACATGGGTTGGTCGAACGAACATCGCAGGAGGTTACGTGGACGATGGTCGCTGTTACCAAACCTTCCCCATCGTTACACAAGTACACCTGAATATACGGCATACATTCGAATTATGGCAGTTTATTACAAAACAAAATCACTTTTAAATAGGATAATTCTGCACAACATGGGACAGGAACAGTTCCCAGGCATCTGTCAAAGACATGGCATTGAGGCCAAACCATGGACGATACTGTACTTCGTCTATGTGAGCCCACACAGCTCGACCACATACAGGGCCGCCCTCGTGGAGTTTCCTTTTCAGTCTGCTCCAGTATGCCTCAATGGCATTGGTGTGTCGTCCGGTGGTAGGTTTCTTAAGGTTCTTTGAGTGGTTAACAGAGAAATGTAGATAACCTTCTGAGGGAAGACGATTATATGACTTCCACTTGTCCGTTATTACTATACTGCCTTTGGTGACCCATTTTGTAATAACGGAACGGAGAGCGGACCAACTTCGCTCATTCACCTGTTCAAATAAGGCTTTCTGTCGGCTAGTATCGTACATCCCGACCAGCCACCACCCATAAAACCCCTATTACCACCTGTCCCGTAAGACAGGCTGCTTTGGTTAGGCGGATTTTTGGGTGCCATCTCCCGACTGTTACCTTAAAAACTTTTTAAAACCTAATTATACTCCTTTTTCGAGTGTAAAATACAAAGATGACGTGATTATCTATCAACCGCGTGAAAGAAAGTATATATTTGTCCATGTTGTCTATAAAATATATTTAAATTTAAAAGGCCATCAAAAATCAATGTAAAAAATGCATGCCACTTAAGTAGTCTTTTTTACCGAGTAAGTTTTCTATAGGAAATTAAAAAGCGATGCATTCAAAAGCCAACATTCTGTCAATTTCGGAATATTATAGGATTATGCTGCAGGATAATCATTATTACAACCCTGCCTAAGTAATCCTGTTTAATCAAAAAACGCATTTCAGAATTTCGGGCAACAGTTCATGAGATCGGTCACTCAGTGTGCATAAGCAGCTCGCTGAGTGTAACACGCTGCTTATGTACTATATGTGGTGTGTGTCCTATGACAGAGCGTTCGTTATCGTCAGTGACAAGCTCGCAGGCGGACAGAATGGGATTGAGTGAGATCCTTACAACAACAGTGAGGGTCACATGTATGTATATGAAAAATGAAGAGGTTC